GCTCCAACCGGACCCTTCCTTTTTTGAGGCGCAGCAACCTCGACCTGGGTGTTGCTCGAGTCCGTAACGCCCACCGGGCGAATACGATTTCCTGGTCCTATCGCCAAAAGGCCCTGCTCCTCCTCTTGTCTGGCAGCAAACGCAACCTGCGGCACAAGCCGCGTTGGCGCAGAGGAGGCGGCAAGCCTCAACGCGCCTACCCGTGGCATGCCGCCGGATCGGGCCAAGACTAAGGAGCTGCAGGATTCGGCCCCGCCTGCTGCGAGTGCCCTCCCGTTGAGGAGTCCATCTTATGTGCAGTGGGCCGGCACCGCGGGCCGCATCTTTCCGAAATCTCAGAAAAGAATTCTAAGAATACTGCGCGTCTCTCACCGGCAGAAAAGACATGGCCGGCGGCCTCACATCGAACCAGAAAGCGCTCTTTGGCCTGGCCGCGCTCCTCTGCGGGCCTGCGCTGCTCAAGAGGTTTTACGAGAAGCCGAGCTCAGTCGACCTCTCATCGTTTGCCGTCGTCGCGCGGCCGGCAATCGAGCGGCACGACTCGACGGTTCGGATCGAGTTCTGCCGCTCCTGACAGACGGCGGGCGCCTTCCGGCAGTGCGCTCTCGCGCTCCAGTCGGCGTTCCCCGGCGTGCCCATTGAGGGCGGCGATTACACACCTCCTGTGGGCGTGCAGTACGCCATCCGTACCGTGCGGGCGGCGCAGGCGCTGGTGGCTCTCAGCTACTTCTTCGGAGAGCAGGCGGCGGCTGCGGTTCGGCGGCCGACGCCGCGCGCGGTCCTTCAGATGCACGATAATCCGATGCTCGCGATCGGCGGCGCGTTCGCTCTGGACGTGGTCGCGCAGACGCTGCAGTCGATCAATGCGTTTGAGGTAACCTACAACGGCCAGAAGCTGCACTCCAAGCTTGCCACCGGTCGGATGCCCCAGCCGGTGGAGCTGGTTCGGCAGCTCGAGACGATGCGCGCAAAGGAGAAGACGCGCACGCAGGGAGCGGCGGAGGCGTCGGCGCCCAAAGTGCGCATCGAGTAGGACCCGGTGGAGGGAAGCTGGGAGAGCGGGGCACCCCTCTGGCCGGCTCGCGCGGCCCGTGGGCATGACGCTGCCCGCCACAAGCCCACGCTCGGGTCAGCGGGCAGCTGAGAGCCGGCGCGGGTCGCAACCACGCGACTCGTGGACGGGCCGCGCAGTCGTGAATCGTGCCTCGAGCGAGAGATTTCTTCTTGTATCGAAAAAGCCGTGTGTGGTAAAAAATTTAAAATAAAAACTTCAAGTGCTCCAAAAACGTCTACTGTGAGATGGGTAAAAAGGAACAGGTCCCCGCCCTTGCGATCTTTGTGCAGGGTTCTTTGTGGGTGTGGTCGGCGACTACGGCCGGGGTCGTCCTCCCGAAGTCCCGATGCGGCGATGGGGGACTCTATAGGCCGAGCGTTTTTGATCTCTCGGTCAGTGGGCGCCCGCCCGCCGCCTCTGAGGGGGTTGGGCCCCCTAGTCTGAAAACAAAAACAAACTCGAAGCAGCCAAAATCAGCCTGCGAGAGAGGCACTGGCCACTGCGCGCCGCTGACCTCATGCGGGGATGTGTGCCGACACCAATACTGATCTAAAATCTGGAAATCCTTGTTCAAAGCCGACCCTAAGCGCCATCCTTCCTGCTCCCACCTGATGCTGCTTCCCCGCGCCGCCTCCTTGGCCCCCTTGGGCGTATTTTCTACTCCCAGTGGGGGGCCTGGGCCCCCGGGGCCCCTCTTGTTTTCTGTTTTCTGTTTTTCAAGATTCTGTTTTTCAAAACGCCCGCCCGCCCGCCACCCCGAGGCGGCTCGGCCCCCCACTGACCGAGAGATTAAAAACGCTCGGCCCTAGCAGCCACTAGCCGTCTTCCACTGACATGGTCCCTCGGATCCCTGCTGCTCTTAATCTCTTCGTACATCCTCCTGCTGATCTCCGCAACGTCCTGCTCCCTCCCTCGTCTCGCCCTGCGCGTCTGCTCCGCCTCCCCGTCGTCTGCCCTGCGTCGTCTGGCGACGGGTCCTCCATAGTCGGTCGAGGTCGCCGCCCTCCTCGTGCCTCTTCCCAACATTCCCTCGGCGGCCGATGCCGTCTGCTCCGGCTCCCCAGTCCCCGGGTCCGCCCTGCTCTCGTCTGCGCTAGTTTCTGTTTCGTCATCACCGGCGTCTCTCCTCTTCCTTCTCCCCTTCTTGTATGCTTTGCACATCGCGTCGATTCCTTTTCGCGCGAGCCCCACCCTGAAGCCCGCCCAGCAGCTGAACCGCTCCCTAAGTCGAAGGAGCATCATCAGCCTCACCCACTTCGCTCGCTGGGCAGAGGGGTTGTCGGGGCTATGTGATATTTGTGGCGAAAACGCTGACTAGCTGTAGCGTCCGGCGCTTCCGACCCGCGTTGGAGCTCTTGTTCCGATCCCACTCCCTTTGCTGCCCACTCATGAAATCGTTGGGTCGCTTCTTCAGTTCACCCCCTGACTTACCCCCTGTGTGGACCCGCGACAGGCGAGACACCCTGCTTCACCCCCCGCGATTTCATGAGAGAAGAGAGAACAAAGGGAGTGTTCCGATCCCCGTTCCCGTTCAACATTAACACCGGATCTTAACCGCGGCGCATCAACGCGCGATCAACGCCCGCGTCCGTGTTCCTCCTCGCTCTGATCACTCGGCCATGCCAAGCTAGGGCTGGGTCGAGGTACGAGGACAGACACGTCCCCCACCTTTGCAGGATTTTGCAAAAGCGAGGGGGGGGGGGGGGGGAACAGATGTCCATCGACCACCTCTCTGGCGATGTGAATCGTCCACCGCTCCCAGCCGTGCTCGCCGAGCATCAGCCGCCGCCGCCGCCGACGCGCCGACAACTCCTGAAAGGCAGGCATCAAAATGTCGAGGACGGAGAGCATTGCTAGAAATCGTACCAAACTCCGGGAGCTCGGTCAGGGGTAAGATCGGTAAGTAAATAAAGAGATGTTAAGTAGGACCTTCCTTAGGTCCGCCTCTCACTACTCACACCCTCACTAAGAAGAAAGAAAGAAGACATACAGCGCAAACAAAGGAGGGATGGGAGGACGGCACGCCGCCACCACACAGGGATTTCACGGGAAGGAAGGTGTGTTGCTAGCCGTCGCCCACCCTTGCTTGGGCGCCTGCCTCTTCCTATCTCTCACTGTCTGTCTGCGATGTCCGCCTTTTGTTTCTTATCAACCTGCGTGCCAGTGTGTGTGCCAGTCCGCGCCAGTGCGCGCCCTTGTCGTGCCAGTGTGCTGTGAGAGAGGCTTGTATTTTTAAGAATTCTTATCAACCTATCTGTGAATGTGAGACTGTCTCTGTGCGATTTCGGGCCCGAACCTCTTTTCGAATATTTTTTCTCAATAACAAGGCTGTGAATGAACCTCTCATAGACCAGCGCACAGCGCTAGGAGGTATTTTCCGTGGTGTACCTGTGTTAGTGCCAGTGCGCGCCAGTCCTGTGCCCAGTGTTGTGCGAGGGAGTTTGGTTCTAAAATTCTTCTCAAAACATGGCTGTGAATGTCGGGCCCGGGGTTGTGCGGTAATGTGAAAATACCTGTATACCTCCTATGTGAAGGCTCGCACCTCAACCTCTCACAGACCAGCGCATAGCGCCAGAGGACGTATTTTCTTGTCAATAACAAGGCTGTGAATGTAACCCCACTTGTGCTCAAGTGCTCAAGGCTGTGAATGTAAACCGAGAGAGACTCTCTCTCTCTCTGTGAATGTAAACCCCAGCCAGGCTGAATCGCTGTGGCCGACTGGATCGCTGGGAAGTATGCCTCCGGCTCTCGTGCGGCGCAACTCGCACAGCCTCGTCAAGGCTCCACCGCCGCCGAGCGACAAGCGGCGCGTCGTCTCACAGGCTCCTGCCTCCTCCGCAGCTCGCCGCATCCGCGACGACGACGAAGGTGCTGCCGCTGACGCCGGAGCAAGCTCCGCGCGCCCTCCCCGCCGCGTGCTGGTCCAGCGGGCGGTGGCGGGATTTGCGCGCTCGGCGGACGGCATGCAGATCACGCGGCTGCACGGCGCCGCCGGCAGCGCGCCTGGCCCGCCGCGGCTGTCGGTCGACTTTAAGCGACGGTGCTCTCCCGTCCACGCCTCGGGCCACAGTCCCGCCCGCCCACGCCGCGCGCACCCTGCTCTCGCACCACGCCCGCTGCCCGGGCCCTCTGCCGGCATTCAAGACCCTGCCCGCGCTCGCGAGGCTCACCGCTCGCGCGCGGCCGGCACCCTGCGCCCAGGCGCGAGAGGGACCAGCGCGAGGGCGTGCGGCGCGAGGAGCTGGCGCGCGTGCAGTGCTTCTCCTTCTCCAAGACCGGCTACTGCAGCCGCACCGGGGGAGAGTGCGGCTATGCGCACGACCCGGGCAAGGTTGGCATCTGCCAGGCCTTCCTGCACGGCACCTGCACGGCGCCCGAGGGGTGCTGCGCGCTCTCGCATGAGCCTAGCGCGCACAACATGCCCACCTGCCGCCTCTACCTCCTCGGCGTGTGCGACGCCGACGCCGCCACCTGCGCCTTTCGCCACGTGCGCTACGGCGACACCATGCCGTGCTGCCCCGCCTTTGGGAAGGGTCGCTGGTGCGACCGCGGCGCCGCGTGCACCGCGCGGCACGAGATGTGCTGCGACGAGCACGCGGCGACGGGAGTGTGCCCGCTGGGGCAGCGGTGCAAGCTGCGCCTGCAGGGCGGCGCCGGCGCCGTGAGGAGACCGCCCGCGTAATCTCTTACTTGTGAGCCATTGGAGGACTCGATCTCCGAGCACTTGGAGCACTTGGAGTGCAGTCAGTAACCGCACATCCAGGGCCGGGGGGAAAGAAAGAAAGAAAGAAAACAGAGGGCCGGGGGGCTAAGAAGCACTCCCACGTGGAGGATTTTTTTTCCATCAAATTTTTGGAGAGCGCGGACGTCGGCGACTCGATCGACTTCGGGCTCGTCGCACGACTGAGCCGTGCCCACCGCCCTCGCCGTGCATGCGCGCGACTGCATGGTGAGAGCAGCAGCCAAGCCTGGCGAGGATGCCGTGGGCAGGAGCGGCCGGGTCTATGCTGGGAAGTCGCTCTTCCTCTTTGGCGCTCGGAGCACGCCACGCAAGCAGGCAATCAGCATCGTTGAGTCGCCACTTTTCGACCCGTTCATCCTGCTGGTGATCCTCGGCAACTGCGCCTTGATGGCGTGGAACTCGCCCTTGGATCCGCCCGGCACGCAGAAGGCTGCCTTGATCGGCACGTGCGAGCACGTGGCGCTCGCAATCTTCACCGCAGAGATGGTTGTCAAGGTGCTATCGTTCGGCTTCGTGCTGGGCCGGGGTGCGTACCTGCGGGATCCGTGGAGCTGGCTCGACTTTGTCGTCGTGATGCTCGGCATCGTCTCTTTCTTCGTTCCCTGGCTCGGCAACTTTTCAATCATCCGCGCCGCGCGGGCGATGCGGCCGCTGCGGGCTCTCAAGCGGGTTCCGGGCATGCCCCTGCTGATCGAGTCGATCATCGCGTCGTTCGGGCAGCTGCTCAACGTCGCCATCCTCTGCGCCCTGTCCTTCATCGTCTTTGGCATCTTCGGCGTAGAGCTGCTCAAGGGCAAGCTGCACTGGCGCTGCGCCGCGCCGGGCTTCGACGGCGTGGGCGACATGGACTTTCCGGCGAGCGACGAGTTTGACAGCGAGGAGGCGTGCAACCCGGACGCGCCGAGCTGTGCCGACGGGTCCCGCTGCGTCTACTTTGAGGAGGACCCGGGCGCCGACACCGTCTCCTTCGACTCGGTGCTCAAGGCGAGCATCTGGGTGATGCAGGCCGCCACGTTCAACGAGATTGCCCGAGATACCCGAGATGACCCGAGAGTATCCAACAGGCCGCCACGTTCGGCGACTCAATGACTCAGTTCACGAATTCATTCTGATAGGCCGCCACGTTCAACGACTGGACGGACCCGATGTACCTCTCGATGAACGCGTACTCGCCGTGGGTGCTCGTCTACTTCCTGCCCGTGGTGTGCGTCGTCGGCTTCTTCGTCTTCAACCTCTTCCTCGCCGTCGTGTACGACGAGTTCAAGCGCGGCGCCGAGGAGGAGGAGCGCAAGACGGCCGAGCAGTCTGAGGAGGACAGGGAGGCGGCGGAGGCGACCAACCACCCTAGATCACCGAGTCACACGAGATCACACGAGATCACACGAGATCACACGAGATCACACGAGATCACACGAGATCACACGAGATCATCCGGTAGGCGACGACCGACTCGGCCGAGCCGCTCCTCGTACCGGCCGCGGCCGATCCCTCGCGGGCGCAGTACCCTACCAAACTCGGTAAACAAAACCCAATGAATGAAATAGGCGGCGGCCGACCTCTCGCTCTGCGGGCGAGTGGCGAGGTCGGAAGCTCTGAACCGCGTCTCGACTGCTCTCGTGGTCCTCAACCTCGTGCTGATGTGCATGCCGTATGCGGACCAGCCGGAGGAGTACGAGAGGGCGATCGACCAGGCCGAGACGGTAATCTCGTTGCTCTTCATCGTGGAGATGGCGCTCAAGCTGCTCGGCCTGGGCTGCAGCGGCTACTGGAGCGACAAGTGGAACAAGCTCGATGGCACCATCGTGCTCCTCACCTCCGTGGACCTCGTCCTGTCGGCCACGGGGACGAAGGTCGGCGTCAACGTCTCCTTCTTTCGCATCCTGCGCGTCGCGAGGATGTTCCGTCTGATGAGGGCGTGGCCGGCGCTGTACCAGGTCTGTTCGGCGCTCGTCGGCTCGCTCTACCAGATCTCCAACATCCTGATCCTGTTCTTGATGATGAACGTCATCTTTGCGCTGCTCGGCATGCAGCGGCTCCGTGGCAAGCCGAGAGCGCGCGAGAGCACCCCAGAGGACCCGAGGCCACTTGCCGGGTAGGCATGCAGCTCTTCGGTGGCAAGCTGCCGCTCGACGACGGCGAGGTGCCACGGCAGCACTTTGACTACTTCATGCCGGCGATGCTCACCACCTTCATCGCGATGACGGGCGAGTGGAACGAGACCTTCCAGGCTTGCGCCGAGGGCGGCGGCTTCTGGGCCGCCATGGGCTACTTCACCGCCCTCCTGCTGGTGGGCTTCCTGGTGCTGGCCAACCTCTTTGTCGCCATCCTCGCCGAGGCCTTCTCGCTGGACGACGACGAGGAGGGCGGCGGCGGCGAGGCGGAGGAGGCGCGCGGCGGCGACGAGGGCGCGGACGGGGCGCCGGCCGCTGCGGGCGGTATGGTGACCACCGCAGGTGGGCAATCCCCTACCTACCCAGTACCCGAACCCACCGGGAAAAAGAAACACACCGGTGACCACCGCAGGTGGGCAGGGCTGCGTGCGCGACTCGTGCCTCGCGGTGGTGACGCAGCCGTGGTTCGAGGGCGTCATCCTCCTCCTCATCTGCGTCTCCTGCGTCACGCTCGCGCTGGACACGCCGCTGCTCGACCCGGCGTCCGACTTGGCGTGGTGGCTCAAGATGACGGGCGCGTTGACGACGTCGTGTTTCGTGCTCGAGTGTGCGATGAAGGTGCCCGCGTACGGCCTATGGCGTGATCTCCCTTCATTTACCGTGATCTCCCGTGATCTCCCGTGACCTCCCGTGATCTCCCGTAAGGTGCTCGCGTATGGGCTCTGCGCCTACCTGAGCGACGGGTGGAACGTTCTCGACTTCTCCATCGTTATCGTCTGTGTGGCGTCTTCGCCGCTGGTGGTGTCTGCGATCCCGCAGCTCAGCCACCTCAGCACTCTCAAGACGCTGCGCGCGCTGCGCCCCCTCCGCATCGCGGGGCGCAACCCGGGGATGCGCCTCATCATCGAGACGATCCTCAAGGCCCTCCCCGCGATGACCTCCGCGCTCGCGGTGCTGGCCGCCTTCCAGGTGCTGTTTGGGATTCTGGGGATGCAGCTTTTCATGGGCTCGCTTGGTGCGTGCAACCTCGACGAGGAGGCCGACCACGAGAGCTGCATGTCGATGTCACCCGACGAGGACGGCACCGCGCCGGCCTGGGTCAACACGATGGCGGGCTCCTTCGACGACTTTGGGCAGGCGATGCTGCTGCTGTACATCACCTCCACGGGCGAGGCCTTCAATGACTACATGTTCGCGCAGATGGACGTGGTCGGCTTCCGCAAGCCGCTCGAGCGCGACGACTACTCAGCGTACTCGCTCTTCATGATTGCGTGGCAGCTGATTGGCAACTTCATTGCGATGAACCTCTTCATCGGCGCGATCGTCGACAACTTCACCAAGGTGCGCGGCGTGACGCCAGACTCGCCGCAGCTCATGACGCCAGCGCAGGCGCAGTGGGTGAAAACGATGCAGCAGATTGCCAAGAAGAAGCCGCGGCCGCGGGCGCGTCCGCCGAGCAACCCGCTCCGCGCCGCCGCCTTCCACCTCGTCACGTGGAAGCTCTTTGACCTCCTCATCATGGCCATCATCCTCGCGAACGTGGGCGTGATGGCTGTCGACTACTGGGGCATCGAGAACGACCCGCTCGTCTTTTGGTTCTACAACGACTCGAACGACATCTTCATCGCCATCTACTACATCGAGTGCGTCCTCAAGATCGCCGCCCTGGGCGGCGCCTACTTCGCGGACGGCTGGTGCCGCTTCGACTTTTTCCTCGTGTGCATGTCCCTGCTCGACGGGCTTGCTGTGTACGTGCTGCCCGTGCCGCCGACGGTGATCCGGATGCTGCGCATTCTGCGCCTCCTCCGCATCTTGCGGCTGCTCAAGAAGGCGGAGGGCGTGCGAGATCTCGTCATCACGATGGCGCTCTGCTTCCCCGCGCTCGTCAACGTCTGCTCACTGCTCTGCCTCCTCACCTTCATCTACGCCGTGGTCGGCGTGCAGCTCTTTTGCTTCACGGGGCTGGACGACGCAGAGGGCATCACCGAGGACCGCAACTTCGCGGGCGTCGGGAACGCCTTCCTCGTGCTCTTCCAGTTCATCACCGCGGACGCGTGGGGCGACGTGGTCTTCGACCTGAGTGTCACCGAGGAGGACGGTTGCACCGCGGACGGGGCGGCCTTGCCGTACTCGGACGAGAGGGTGTCCAACTGCGGCTCGCCGCTCGCGTCCATCCTCTTCTTCTGCTCCTTCATGGTGCTCGCCAACTTTGTGCTGCTCAATTTGATCGTGGCCGTCATCCTGGAGGAGTTCGCGCTCCTCTCGGAGCAGCGGCGCGACCTGGTGTCGGCGCAGGACGTGGAGCACTTCAGCGACGTGTGGTCGATGCACGACCCGGACGCGGACGGCCTCATCCCCGCCGCACAGCTCCCCCAGTTCCTATGCGACCTCGGCCCTCCCCTAGGGCTCGACCCAGACTACTCGACGCGCGGCTCGACCGTCGGCTCCGCCCCGCTCAAGCGCGCCACGCGCATGTGCGTCCGCGCGGGCCTCAAGCGCCGACCGTCGCAAAACTCGGAGCCACAGCCGTACGCTTTCCGCGACGTCTTCGACAAGCTGGCCCTGCTGAATGCGAGCGAGAAGCTCGAACAGGACGAGACGCGGCGACTTGGAGTCGACGGGACGGACGTCAAGCGGCAGTCGAGCGCCCGCGCCATTCAGCTGCAGTGGATCGAGAACTTGCAGTCTCGAGGGGAACCAGGCTCCGCTCGGTCGTTCCCCGCCATTCGTCATGTGGTGGAGGCCACAGCCGCGAGCCGAGTGCAGGCGGCCGCGCGCGGGAGTGGGGGTCGGAGACAGCTCGAGAGCAAGCGCAACAAAGCCAACGACGAGCACGACGCCGCCGTCCACATCCAGCAGGCGTGGAGGAGCGGGCTGAGCAGGCGGTGGCATCGTATTATCTCAGCGGTCACGCGGAGCAAGTGAAGAGGGGGGTAGGTGGGCAATGGGCTGATATACGTCGTGCATGGAGAAGATGACCCTGTGTCGTGCACGGCAGTGGACAGCGTTAGCGAGCTCTCTCTCGTCCGGATTTAAAAGTCGACTTGTTCTAGGATTTGTGTTGAGTGCGATAATAGTAAATAGATTGGCATAGTGGCTCGGGGACCGCGCTCTCTAGACTCTACGTCCCTACGACCCCCAGGCCCTTGTGGCATGTATGATACATTGTTTTATTTTGCCATCTATCTATCTCCCGGGCACAACACAGATGCGGGCTGGCGCGCGGTTCCCATCATTCCCACGTGCCGATCCCACTTCTCTGAATCAAACGCGTTTGACTTCCCCCGGACAACCTCAACGCCCCGCCATGTCGCCCAAGAAGTGCTCGACGACGCAGACGCCGCCCGGCGCCGCCTCGTGCCGCTGGAGGCTCCAGCTGCGGTGCTCGCGCTGGCAGCTTGGGCACTTGAGCCCCTTCATGTCGATGGGGAAGAGCTTCTTCATGCAGCCCGTGCAGAGCACGTGGAAGCACGGCAGCTGCGAGGGGCTCTCCTGCAGGCTGATCGCCTCGAGACAGATGGAGCAGGAGAGGGTCGAGCCGGTGGCGCCCACCACGAGCCGCGCGATGTAGCTGAGCTCGGCGCACCACTCCGACGCGGCGGGCGTGATCATCTCGCCCTCGCCGCCGCCGCCCTGCTCGCCGCCGCCTTACACGAGCCACGGCAGCGCGAAGGCCGAGCCGATCTCGTTCATCCTGCCGCTGTTCATCAGCTCGCGGCAGAGCAGCATGTGCGCCTCGGTCTGCTGCGTGCGCTGCACATAGTAGAGCGTGCGGCAGAAGGGCTCGCACAGCGTCGAGAGCTGACCCATCCGGTGCAGGTGCGCCTGGTCGATGGCGGGTTCGGCCGCCAGCGGCGTCCAGTCGACCAGCGAGCAGGGCGAGCCCGCCGCTTTGTCGTCGCGCGCCGCTGGGCCGCCGCAGGTGGAGGACCCCGGGGTACTGTCGCGATGGGCTTCTGCCGCGACGGGCATATACAGCGGTGGGAAGCTGGCGGCGGGCGCGGAACCCGGCGGGCGGAACCCCAAAAGAAGGGCGTCTCGCTGGCGAGGCACTCCCTTCGTCCTTGCTTTTTCGAAGAATTCTTCTTTACTCGCAGAAGTTGCATCTGCGAGGGACTGCGAAGAGAGATAGGGAAGAGGCGGACGCCCAAGGGTGGGCGACGGCTAGCAACGCACCTTCCTTCCAGTGCATTCCCCCTCTTGGCCTCTGGCCGAGTGCTGCGTGGCCCTCCTGTTCCATACTGTACGTGCTATGCTCGTCGGCATCCTTCTGACGCCTCTCTCGGCTGTTCTCGCTCCTGGCGACACCGTCACCGTTCTTGGCGCATCGGGCAACGTTGGAAAGCTCGTCGCGCTACGGCTCGCCGACACGTTCAAGGTGCGTGGGGTGGTGCGAGATGCGGCACGGGCCCGCGCCTTCCTGGGCGACAAGGTCTCGCTGTACGAGGCGGATCTACGCGGCGACGACGTGACGGCTGCGCTCGCACCGGCGCTGGAGGGAGCGCAGGGCCTGGTCGTGTGCACGGGGACGACGGCGTTCCCGACGCAGGCGTGGTCGCCGAGCGGGCGCGAGGGCGTCTCGCTGCCGGTGCTCAGGGCGCTCTTCGACGCGCGCGAGGCGGGTGGGCTCGGCGCGGTGGTCGAGGCTGCGATCGCGAGCCTGAGCGCGTCCGGCTTCAACACTCCGACAGTGGTGGACGAGGTCGGAAACTACAAGATCCTCGAGGCGTGGGAGGCGGCAGCCGGCGCGTCGCGCAAGCGGCTGGTCCTGCTCTCGTCGGTGGGCGTGCAGCGGCGGGCCGAGATGCCGTACCCAATCCTCAACGCTTGCGGCGTCCTCGACGCCAAGGCGGCCGCTGAGGCCGCGATCGTCGCAGACGCGGCAGGCGCGGGCTACGCGTACACCTTCGTGCGGCCGGGACAGCTCTTTGGGGGGCCGTACGACAACAACTACTACCTCGGCACGCTCTTCCAGCTCGACAAGGACGCCGAGACGCGCGAGGTGCTGCTCGGCAAGGGCGACGTGACGCTCAACGACGACCCGCAGCTTGGCACCCTTCGCTCCACGCTCGCGGAGGTGATCGCGCAGACGCTCGAGTGCGGCGCCGGCGAGAACGCCGATTTCACGTGCGTCAACGCCAAGGGCGAGTTTCCCGAGCCGGTGGTGCTGCGCGAGCGGCTGGCGGCCCTGTGACGCTGGAGATTTCGTTGTCCTGATTGTCTGAGTTGCGGTTCGTGAGCGCGCCATGGAGGAGCGCGCGCTCTCGACGAGATTGTCGCACTTATGCATGTGCGTGTGCGTGTGCATGTGGCATTGTATTTGGGCGCGCCGGCCGGAGCATACGCATAATATATGACTACACAGGCGGTGTCAGGTGTAGCATCCCCCGATCCCCTCGCTTCACATATCACAAACGGAGCTCCAAATCGCTAAAGCCGTAAAATGGACTCGCCGACTCACAAGGATTGCATCACCATCAGCGCCTGCAGCGCCTCTCGGTCGCGCATGACGGAAGTCCAGTTGCTGGGTTCCTCTCGATGACTCTCCGCCTCGAGCGGGACCACGGAGGCGCCCTGTGCCGACCCACTGCACGCGTAAGTCGACCGCCGCCTACCAGCCGGCCTTCCTGGGGGGCTCGCCCCCCCCCGGCCCGGCGGCAGTGGGCCGCTCCTCGCCTTGTGGGCTGGAAGGATATACGGCCGGAACGTGCAGTGCTCCGCCAACTCCTTCTCCTCGCGCGTGAGCTCATCCCGTGAATCCTTGCGCCTGCAGCGTGCCGCTGCCGCCCGGCTGCCCTCGCCCCCCTCGCCATGCGGCCTCTCGCACAGCAATGGCCGGAAGGGGCACTCCTCGGCCTGAGCGCGCGCGACCGCCTCCGCCCGCTCATGCCGCCGCCGCTCTAGCTCTGTCTGCTCCAAGTAGAGCGCCTCATGGAGAGGAGCGCCGGCTGGCCTGCGGCTGGCGGCGAGCGCGCGGCTGCGCTCCGACACGTGCGGCGTGAAGGACGACTTCGCGTCTGCGTCGACTACCCTCGCCCCCGACGCCTCGGCGGCCGCTCCTTCGCGCGGCGCGCGGAGCAAAAACTCGCGCGGCCCGGCCGGCGGCGTCGCTGCGAGCGCCGCCTCGACCAGCTCGACGAACTGGGACTGGTGGAGCTGCTCACTCTCGTGCAGCGCCGGCTCGATCGCGGCTACCACCTCGGCGGGCAATTGGCTCAGCGTCTCACGCAGCGCAGCTGTGGAGGCGGCGGCGCCCTCGCCGCCGCCGGCGAGCGTATCGAAGAGACGCCTCAGCGCTGCCCGCCGCGCGCGCGCTACGATCGCTTCGGAACGGCGGGAGAGGAGCGTGACGGTGCCGCGCTCATCGCCAAACGAGTCGCTGCTGCCGTTGCATGCGTGGCCTGTGGAACGCGGCGCGGACATTGGACGCGCGTGTTGCGGAGAGGGGATTTGGTGAGCGTGTATTGGCTGGAGGTTCTAGAGGCGGCTCGGCACCTTGCCGCCACGCCTTGTATAGAGCGAGGCCGGCGTGCGTCACCTCGTCGCCTCCGCGGGAACGTGCGGCGCCGTCAGTGGGGCCGCGCCCCACGCGCGGGGTGAAGAGTGGCTGCCCATCTTCTGGGTCGATCGGGCGCTGCAAGTACTCGCGCAACTCGCTCACCTCCTTTTCGCGCGCCTCTTGCGCACGAGCGAGCCGCTCGACCGACGCCTGCACTGCCGATTGGGGCACTCCGCCCGTAGGCGCGCGTGCGCCGCGAGCGAGCTCGCGTGCCTCACGAGCGCAGCGCTCCTAGGGATGGAGGCGAGGGACGGAAGGGAAGGGTGGCATCAGCCTCGGGATGGAGCGGGGATGGGCTGAGGGCAAAAGGCCAGCGGGCTCTCGCATCGCGCACTTCGTGCTCCTCGAGCCGGCGCTGCCGATGAGCCGCGTCCTCGTGCAGCGACTCGTGGATCGGCCGCCGCCCACCGTCGGCATCGAGGCGCGGGGCCCCACGGTAGCCGCTGCGCGACGCGGACACGGCGCGAGCCGCGCGTTGGCTGGCGGCGAGCAGGCGGGTGCGCTCCGAGAGGCGTGGCGCAAATGTCTCCTCTCGCGCCCGCTCCTCCTCGAGCGCTTGGGCGAGGCGCGCATGCGCAACCTCCCGCCGGCGCGCCTCGCTGTGCTGCCGCTCCTCCCACGGCTCGGCGCTACGTGGCAAGCCGGCGGCCCTGCGGCGCGTCGCCTCCCCCACCACCTGAGGACGGAACGTCGCCTCCGGGTCGTGCTCCGCCTCGCGCGCCGCCTCGGCGGCTGCCGCGAGCCGCCTCTCCCTCTGCCGCTCGCCATGCTGGTAGAGACGCTCCGCCGCCGCCTCGGCGCTCTCACGAGCCCGCTCGGCCGACGGCGCACGAGCGGCCGTGCGCGCCGTACTGGTCGCGCTGGCCAAGCTCCGCCCGAGCTGCCACTGCCGATGCTGCTGCCGACGCGGCGCCTCGGCATGCAACCTCGTGTAGACGGACTCCTCGCTCGGACGGCGGCGCGCGGCGAGGCGCCGGCTCGTCTGCGAGATGTAGGGCGCGCTCCGCTCGTGTGCCCGCCGCTGCGCCTCCTGCTCGCGGCTCGCCCGCTCCCTCGACCGGACCGGGTCGCCGCGCCACCCGAGGGCCTGCTGCAGCAGCGACTCTGCGCCTCCGCCGGCACCGCCGCTCTCTGCCTCTCGATGCGGGATGGGATCCAGCGGCGTGCTGGGTGCCGGCGACGCGGTCGGCTTCCGTCGCCGCCCCGCACTGCTCGCCCGGCGCTGGCGCGGATGGGCCGGCAGGAGGCCACGCTGCCCACCCGCCCGCCGCGTTGCCTCGTCGTCCGAGAACGCGGCGCCTCGCGAGATTGCGTGCGCTGCTTGCGCCGCCGCTGCTGTCGCAGCCTCGGCTGCACTCAGCGCTTCCTCCGCGCGCGCTAGCCGCGCTGCAGACGCCTCCCCCTGGCTGCGAATCGCCGCCTCGTACTCCTCCTCGCCCCTGAGAGTGCCTGCCCCCGTCCATTGCCCGCGCTGGCTTCGCGGTGACCGCTCGACCAGCTCTAGCCGCCCGTCCACGTCAATGAGGAGCGCGTCCAGCCCCTCGCGCCGCTCGAAGGGCCTCCCGTCAAGCAACCCATCCGCAGGATGCCTTTGTGAGCAGCCCTCCTCCTCAAGCTCCTCCTCACCCTCCTCCGTCCCGAACGACCCTTGGCTCTCCTCCTCGGCCAGCGACGTCGGCGATTCCTCTGCCGCCTTCTCGCCGCCAGATGCCTCCGCAAGGCCGGCAATCTCACTAGCATCCGCATCGCCCGCTGTGGCCTCGCCCACCGTCCCCATCCTCTCCTTGAGCGCGGCTAGCAGGCCGCGGGAGAGGTGCTGTGCGAGACTGTCGGCCGCGCCGGGCGCCAAACCGTGCGCGGCACAAAAGTCATTCGCCAGCGCGGCCGGCTGGTCCCCCGCGCGCGCGAGCAGCTCTGCCGAGCGGCCGCCGCCTAGATCGACTCGCAAGCGCAGCAGTACGTCGCCAGGAGAGAGTGTGGCGGCGGCCCCGGTGTGCGCCGGGGAGCGCGGCCGAGGCGGCGGCGTCGGCGGCCTTGGCAGCGGCTGTGGTAAAGGCTGCGCCAGCCGCTGTGGCAGCGGCTGTGGTGGTGGCGGCGGCGGCGGCGGAGGCTGTGGCGAAAGTGGAGGCTGCGGTGACGGCGGTTGCGACACCGGTTGTGGCGGCGGCGGCGGCGATGGTGGTGGCAGCGAAACAGGCTGCAACGGAGGTGGTAGAGATGGTGCCGAGAATGGTCGTTCGGTATCGTGGGCATCGCCAGGTGCATCACCCATTATAGAGGCGGTTGGCGGCGTGCGTTGTGGTCCCTGCAGCTGAGGCTCGGTGGGTGGCAGCGGCGTCGCGAACTCCGCAGCCGCTCTAGCAGCTGCCTCGGCGCGCTGGACCGCAGCTCTCGCCTCGTCAGCTATGGCAGCGACGTGATCGAGTGACAGCCCTGGGATTCCCTTGAGCGGCAGCCTTGGGATGGTGCCCGTGCCGATGCCTTGCCGCAGCTTCCGCTCGGCCGCTGCGATACGCAGCACGACGCCGGCGTCGTCCCAAGCGCAAGACATATAGCTGGCCGCGTATCTGCCCCCGGAGCGCGGCGTTTGCGCGTTACGTTCCTCTTCTAGGTCCAGAGAGAGAGAGAGAGAGAGAGAGAGAGAGAGAGAGAGAGAGAGAGAGAGAGAGAGAGAGAGAGAGAGAGAGAGAGATTTAGCAATACCAAACAACTCTAACACTCACACGTCATTTGGGGCCTGGATGGAGCCCTGTTCACGCGCGCGCGAGACGTGCAGACAGAGTTGCCAGGTGAGAGCGAATGGCGCGGTTCACGCCTCGCACAACAGAGAGAGAGATGCGCTCTGCATGGTGGGACATAAAAGAGAGCGTGTACTTGGGGCACTTGGAGCACTTGGAGTGCAGTTATCAACCTCACATCCAGGGCCGGGGAGCTCAGAAGCGCACCCAGCGGGCCGGATGATCGGGATCGGGTTACGGGCTAGAGAGCCCTAGCCCCGGGGGTGCGCGTTCGCAGGGCAAGGGCCTTAAAGTAAACACATTGGGATCTTTTTTTAGCAAAGGCCAGTGACGGAACTGGACAATTAGAGAACCGAAATGAGGAAGCTCGCCTTCGTCGTCTTCGTGGATCGCGTCACACCAATCCTCGCTACCCAACGCGGCCAAAGGATAAAGAAAGAAAGAAAGAAAACAGACAACCCAAGGGAGGGATGGGAGGACGGCACGCCGCCACCACACAGGGATTTTAAGGCCAAAAGGATATCCACCTCGAGAACCCCGACAAGAATTTTTTTCGTTCCTGCCGTAACACGATTTCATTACGATGTTCGCCCTCAGCCTCGCCTCCGTCATTGCCTCCGTCGCAGCAGCAAAGGCCAAGGTGGAAGAAGCCGCCGGCTCGCCCATCCTGGACGCGCTGCAGGCGATGGCCACCGACATCTACCAGTCCACTCTGGGCCTCGCCCAGGACGTGGCCGGGCTCACGCTCGCCGCGCCCCGCTTCAGGCCGCACCTCGGCTGCACCTCGGCTGCACCTCGGCTGCACCTCGGCTGCACCTCGGCTGCACCAGGACGTGGCCGGGCTCACGCTCGCCCCGCCCCGCTTCAGCGTCGACGTCTACATGTGGGCGGTCGCGCACGTCCGCTCGGCGCCCACGCTGGCGGTCAAGGTCTACAACGGCGACGACTCGACGATGAACGACTTCACCAGCTTTGCGGTCTACGCGGCCGGCGTTATCTTTTGCGTGTATGTGGGCGTGGTCGCGCTCAACCTCGTGCTGGTTCTCTTCACCTCGGTCAAGGACTACTTCCAGGGCTACCTCGTCCTGCCGACCAAGATCCCGATCATCAACCAGAAGCTCCCCGAGCTGCTCATGGCGCTGCGCGACGACCTGCAGGTGGAGGTGTTTGATCGCGTTCGCACCTTCAAGTGCGACAAGTGGATCATCCCGCTCGAGGGCCAGACCGGCAAGCCCAGCCTCAAGGGCGCGGTCGCGTCACTGGCGATGGCCATGTCGGCCTGCATGATGCTCTCGTGCGCCGCGCGAGCGAGCATACGCCTCCCTCCCCCGCCGTCCCTCCCCTCACCCCGCCCTGTTAACCCCCTTCGCAGGTGCGCCCCCGCCATCCACGCGCTCGTCAAGAGCGGCGCCGACAAGGCGGGCGCCGAGGCCATCGCCTACACCGTCGGGACAGCCCTCGGCCTCCAGTACCTCGCCAAGCAAGCCGCCTGAAGGGCCGCGGACAGGGCCTCGCCCAGCAAGGAGTCGCCCGAGCAGGTCCCGGCGCGGGCGACGAGAGCATATACGAGTGTGCCATGAGCCTCCCTCTACAGCATGCCATGAGCCTCCCCACTGACGTACGGTAGCAGCATAGGTAACAGCATCAGCATGTGAGCATGTCCATGTGTGCGAAGGTGTGTTTCTGTCGGTTTCGTGGACGGCGCGCACACCCGCGCCATATACACTCGGTACGGTATCGAACGTGGTTTTTCTTTTCTTTGCCGTTGCGCCCACCCTGGGTACCCTCTCCGAGGACCCGTTTGGGGTCTCGCCCCCCGTACCACACGCCTTGACACAGTAGGGATCCTAGAGTGTGTATCGCGCGCCTTGCGGGGGGGGCGCGGAAAAGAGGAACCACCTCTTAGCGCCATCGCCATGGTGCTGCAAGCAGCGCCGGGCGACGACGACCTACCGCTTCCGGCCCCCCTCGGCACACCTCCGCTGCTCAATGAGTGCATCCCCCCCCCCCCATCAACAACGGCGAGGTCCCCCCCCCCTCGCCCCTCCTGGGGTCGGCCGGCGCGAAACCTCCAAGTCCGCGGCCGGCCGTGAAGCGGGTGGCTGTGGGTACGGCGCGACGCGATGTCGACGCTCGTAGCAGACGCCGATCCAGCGGCGGTGCAGTCGGTGACGACGGCTGGAATCCGCGTCGTCGCGCCGCGGTGGGTGGGTGTGTCGCTGCCGATCGGCCGCAAGCTCTTCTCTGGCGGGAAGCTGCCGCAGGGAGAAGTGGACGTGACCATCGGGCGCGGGTTGCTCTTGCTCGGCTCCTTTGAGGATGCGAGGGGCGCGGACGCTGGCGTCCACAGGAGGATTGCGCTGCCATCGTACCAGTGGTGGATCCATCAGCTGGAGTCGGGCCGGCTCCCTGGCGTCGCCGCAAGCGACAAGGTCGGCCCCGACACGGTGCTTGTCGGCCGCTTCCACTACCACGAGCAATCGATCGCGGCACAGCCGCCTCTCGAGATCGTGTTCGAGGACGAGCATTTTGTCGTAGTCAACAAGCCCGCCGGCGTCGATGTGCTCGCCAACCCGGACGCAGGGCGCGTGGCCAACTCGCTGACCGGGCTGCTCGCCGAGCACTTCTGCGCAGGCGGCGGCGGCGCAGCCTCCCCGCTGCCGCCGCTTCCGAAGCCGGCTCACCGGCTCGATGCGCCGGTGTCGGGTCTCGTGTGCTGCGGCCGCACCAGCGCCGACGTGAGGCGGCTGCAGCGGCATATCGCGGCGCGACGGGTGGAGAAGCGGTATCTGGCGCGCGTGCGCTGCGTAGGGGGCAGAGCCGCGTTCCCGCCGCTGCCTCTGACGATCGACGCCCCGCTCGCGTTTGATAGCGGCCGGTGCTTCGAGCTCATGTCGGGCGAGGCGAGGTATGAACCGCGTCTCCTCACAGCTTCTGCCGTGATCAGGTGCCTCGGCGCGGTCGTCGGGATAGGCGAGGGGAAGGAGGCGACGACCGTCGTCGAGGAGTGCTGGGGGTGGGTCGCCAGCGGCGGCGGCGGCGGGCGAAAAGGCGGCGGCGGCGACGAGACGGCGGTGGTCGTTCTGCGCATTGTCACGGGGCGCAAGCACCAGATCCGCTGCCATCTGCAGCACGCCGGCCTACCAATCGCGAACGACACGCGGTACGGCGGTGCGGAGGTGGGGCGCCGCCTCTGAGCCCTGCCACCGCAATCGGACCGTCTGACAGTGACCCCCCGCGACAGCACTTGGCAGTGGCTGCCAGCCCGGCATCTCTGACAGCCTCTCTCTGGGAGTCGGACGGCGACGTCTGGCATCGCTAGGTGCACGCGCCGCCCTCCGCCTTCGGCCTGCCTGTTCCACCGCCCGCCCTCGCGCGGCTGCTGCGCGCCGGTTTCGTCGCTGGGTGCGAGGCCTGCGCCTTTGCGCGCGATCTGCTCGCCGCTGCGGCCGAGGGGGGAGAGGCGGTGGGCGGTCCGAGGGTGTGCGGGGCGATCTGGCTGCACTCGTGGAGGTACGCGTTCCCGGAGCTCGGGCTGAGGTTCGAGGCGCCGACGCCGTCGTGGGCGAGGGTGGAGGGGGTGAGGGGGTCGGATGGGTCCGTCTTCAAGGACGGCGACGGCGCTGAGTGTGACCAGCATGGCGCTGGGCGAGCTTCCGCGCGCGGAGTTGCTGCGGGAGCCGACAGACAACCCGGAGAGGTAGGGAGTCGTCGATCGGGATGAACACGAGGGCGATGTGAATATACCGTGCGTGCGGCAGTCGCCAGTCGAGGTGGGCAGCACAAATTCTTTTTCGCGATGTCTGCCTCGCCAGCTCCCACCGCGGCGTGCCACGCGGACGCGGCGCCGGGGCCCTCTTGTGCACACGCCCGCTCCTGGTCCTGCACGCGCTCCGCAGCGCGGACCGAGCGTCGGAGAGCGGACCACCGGCGGACGCCTCGAACCCCCGCCCGTCCTCTCTCACTACGGAACGCCGACATCGCTCGCGTCCGGTGTCCAATCGAAAATTACGGCTTCTCGCAACGAAGAGACCGTGTTTAACATGACATCGGATTTCTCGCACTGAACACACAATAGCATTACGAGGACTATATCGAAGAGTCCCGTAGCGCTAGCAGCCGCTCGTTCAAACCATCATGTGGCTCATGATCTCCTGCTTGGTCTCTTTCACCTGGTGGTGACGTGGTAGGCGGCATAAGAGCCGGCGGCGGCGGGGGGCTGGGGTTGGGCGGCGATAGCGAGGGAGGCTGCGGCGCCAAGGGCGGCGGCGGCGGCGGCGGCGGGCGGGCGGGCGGGCGGGCGGGCGGGCGGGCGGGGGGGGGGGGGGGTAGCAGAGGCTGCTTACCTTGCCCTTCGAAAGTTGGAATTTGACCTTCTTCACCTGCTTCTGCCCGCCCTTCTTGGCCGCCTGCTTCTTCTTCGCGAGTTGCTGCGCCGCCTTAACGTCGAGGTGCGTCACGTCGTACCTGTGTACAGCACGCGGCAGTGAGGCGACGCGGCCGTGAAAGCGGCGTACCACGACTAAGCTCACGTGATGGTGCCAGACATGACCCCCGTGCTGCAGGCAAAGTTGTGAATGTTCCTGAAGGCGTGAAACTCGGACTTGAAGTTGAGGATCCCGCCATCTGTCATCTCGATGCCGTTCGTGCGCGTGATCATGCGCTGCGGGACGAACTTGGGGCCGAGGCTGAACTCGGAGTACTCGCAGAGGTTGGTGCCCATAATGGCCTCGCGCACCGCGTTGAGGTCGCTTTTGCAGAGGCAAAAGGAGAACTCCTGCAGCGAGTGGCTGCCGCGCTTGTCAGCCACGACCGCGACGAATTTGAAGTAGCCCTTGATCTCGTGTCGCTCGAAAGACATGTTGAAGATGTCACACCACTTGAGCATCTGTGATTTCCCACCGATGAAGTTCGGGTCGTCGATGCACAGCCCTCCCTTGAAGATCTTGAGCTTATCCGGGCACACGACCGGGCGGAGGTAGTGCCTCGTGAACTCGGTCGTGGCGCCCTCTGGAATCTGTGGAGGGGGAGGGGGAGGGAGAGGGAGAGGATTGGGGTTAGCGTTAGGGTTAGGCGAAGGTCCAGGTGACAGGGTGCCGGCAAGTCCAAAGTCGGCGCGTGCGTGTGGCGCGAGGGAGCGGGTGCGGGTGTTTTGCAGCAGGTGCGACGGGGTACCTGGATGGTCGCGAGGCCGCTGACGCCGAATGCGCTCCGCTGAATGCAAGGTGTGGAGGTTCCGCAACCCATTTTGGCGTGGTACGTAGAGGGTGCACGAGCAGCGGGCGCACAAAGGCGGCGGGCAGAAAAGCGGCGCCCGGCGACGAGGGTCCGACGAGCCCGTGGGCCCCCATGCGACCCTTTGTATTTTGAATCACCCCTGAGAAGTAAGAAGAAACAAAAAAACAGTTCATGGACACACGCCGGCACCGGAGCACCGTACCGTCCGGACGGTGCATTGACGGGTGGACGCTAGATAGGAGATAGATGATGACGCATGACGCGCCCTCACTGCCGCCCGCCACCCTCGCCCCCGCCTCCTCCTTCATCTCCCGAGACCCCGCCACCGCGCACCGCCACCAGTACCTCCGCCCTTCCCTCCTCCCTCGCCGCCTCCCTCGCCTCCTTCGCCTCCGCCACCGCCACCGCCACCGTCACCTTCGCGCTTCGCCGCCATCCCCGCCTCCACCCCCTCTCGCCCACCTCCATCACCGCCACCAGCACCCGCGGCTATAAAAGCAGCTATAGGTTTTAGGTGTGTTGTTGGCAAATCAAGACAAGAGAGAGAATCGTGATTTCTTGTTGGTCTTTAAAAATCTCTCTCTCAAGACACAGAGCTCACACAGGATCACAGCGGGAGGAAAGCGGCGAGTCGCAATTCCAGGGGTCGTTGTGGCGGGCTATAGGTGGGATGATTATGGGAGTCCCGTGCCCAGAAAGAAAGAAACCGACAGCCCGTGCCCAGAAAGAAAGAAAACAGACAGCTGCCAGTGTCGTGAGACGTAACGGCTATCTTTCGCGCGCAGTCCTGGACAGGACTCGAGACACCGATGGAGTTCACGCGGTACACCTCGACGGGGGGCGATCCACGGGGGGCGGTCCTTTCCGAAGACCGCGCAGCCGTCCTGGACCGATGGGTTGACCAGTTTTCCGCCGATTCTCTGCTGGACTCCGACGCCTCCGACGCTCTGCTGGATCTCCCCATCCAGGGCGTCACCGTTTTGTGCACTCATCTCGAGAAAGGTGGAGGTGTTAACGCGACGGAATTCCTCCAAGGGGTGGGTTGGTTCTTCACCTTTGGCCAAGTGCACGTCCGCCACTGGATCTCCCATTTTGCTCTTCGAGTATGGGCGAAGGCGGAGCATCCTACCACGGGCGAGGGCCTGTACATCAACTTTCGTATCGAGCGTGGGGCGAAAGGACAGAAGGGCAACGGCGGCAGCGGTGTGGAGTGCAAACGCGTCCTCAGTAAGAACGACGATGAACGTGAGGGCCGCTATTTCCACCACGACCAGTTTCCCGCCGGGAGGGTGACGCTACGCGACGTTGCCAGCTTTCTCAGGGAGCAGGAAGCGTATGGCTACAACTTCTTCGGCAAGAACTGCAAGCACTTCGCCTACGATTTCTTCCGCCACAGGCTGGGCGAGCGTCGGGAGTTTCCTGGTTTCTGTCAGGAGATCGAGCGGTCACTTCACGGTGCTTGAGGTGAAGGTGGTGAGGTAGTTTGGCGAAATTTGTAGGGTACTGATATTAGTGGTAGTGCTAATAGTTGGTGTCAGGCGGACAGTTTCCTCTAACTCGCGTTACATCACGTTTGTTTGATTTTCTCTGGCCCCCACCAATGTTTATTGGCCACTGAGACACAACGCATTGTGGTCTTCCGGTACCGCCAAGGCTCGAAACTTTGCATGCCTTGCCAACGCAACTTGAAGATGTGTTTGCGGAGATCATCGGAGGACCACACTGCGTCCGTAGCAGTGAGGGGCTGCTCAGCCATGCTTGCTGTCTCGCTGCCTGGTCGAGAAGTATACAAACTGACAGGCAATAAATAAATAAATAAATAAAACGGACACCTCTACTAGGAGATGGGTAAAAAGGAACAGGTCCCCGCCCTGCGGTCTTTGTGCATACTGACAGGCATCGAAGCTGGCAGGCGTTGTTTTAATACCCGGTTATAAAAAATGCGTGGGGTAGTGGAAGGGTCCAGCGCAGTAGCAAGTGGAAGGGTCCAGCGCAAGTTGCGCAGGATATGTGAGAGGTTTGCAAAATGGGCCCCCCCACCCCCCCACCCCCCCTTTTTCGTTCCACTTCAATTTGTGGAGAAGTGGAGACCGCGAGCTATGGTGGAGACGAGCCATGCTGGCTCGTCGCGGGCGGCGAGCTCGAAGACCCGCTCGGAGCTTCGCCCACCCCGGCGGGCCCGCCCGCACGCCCACGGCCGCAGACATGGAAGGCAATCATCTTGGCGTCTCTGGCGAGCGCTCACATGCCAAAAGACACCTCGCAGCGCGCGAGACGTGACCAAAGCAGCACGTCTCGGCACCGCGAGAGCAGCCGGTCGACGTCGGCACCAAGCGCGCGGCCGCCGGGCAGGGGCGCCGCGGCAGTAGAGAGCACTCCACCCACCATACCGTTTACACACACACGCATCACCGTTTTTGGAGGGAGTACCGTACTGGCGGGTCCGCACTCGAGTACCCGGGTAGTGACTGGACATTTCCCTCGCGGCAGGACGAGCGTGCAGGACGAGCGTGCGTGAGCGATGTGCCAGACGCTCTTGCTGTTGCACACCACATTCGCGATTTCATTTCCGGCCGCCGCTGGCCTGACCGCGCCGAAGCCACTGGCAACTGGACCGGCAACGGGCTCGCAGCCGCAGGCGGCGATCGGACGTGGCGGATTGGGCAGGGATGTGCTCACAGCGCCTTCCACACAGGCCACGGGAATGGCTGGAGATGTGCTCCGAGCACCCTCAACGCCAGCTAGGCCGCTCTTGCTCATCGGCGGCGCCGGCGCGATCGCGCTTGCGCTCCTTGTCGCTCCGCCCGCCTTTGGTTCCGTCGACACGACCGCTGTGGCGGCTGCAGCCTCGGAGGCTGCGCCGGCGTACGGCGACGTGTGGGAGAAGGCTGCGAAGCGGGCGCTCGGCGGCGGCGTGAGCGGAGCGCTCGCGAGCGTGGCGCAGGTGCTCACGCTCATGTGGCTCCGAACCGTCATGAACTACCAGTACGCGTCGGCAGAGCCGAAGATGCCGAACAGAGCCCTGCATTCTAGTGAGCGGACAACACGAAAGACGCCACTGAGTTTGGGTCTGGATGCGGCAGGCCGAGAGCATCTCCACGTCCGAGGCGCTGCGGCGCGTGTACGCCGAGGGCGGCGGCACGTTGGGCGGCGGCGTGAGGCGGCTGTACCGCGGCCTCCCCTTTGCGCTACTGCAGACGCCGCTCACTCGCTTCGGCGACACCACTGCCGGCAGCGGCCTGCTCCTCTCTCGCTATCACCACCGCGCATTCTTGGTCAGGCGACACCGCCGCTAACACCGGCGTCCTCCTGCTCCTGGCCGACCCGAGCGTCTTTGGCGGCGAGGTCTAGCCGAGATCTGGCCGAGATCTGGCCGAGGTCTGGCCGAGATCTGGCCGAGGTCTGGCCGAGATCTGGCCGAGGTCTGGCCGAGATCTGGTCGAGGTCTGGCCGAGATCGCGCAGAGAGGCAGGGCTCGGTCCCCAAGAAGCAGGACCCACCCGACCCAGCTGGAGCAGCGAGGCACACGGAAGAGCCGATCACGTGCGCTGCTGCTGTCCACCACTACACCCCCCCCCCTCTCTGCTCACGGGGGCCCTCCCCCATCCTCAGGGCCTCCAGGGCTCACACCCTCGCCCATCTAGACCAGCCCCGAGCGCGCACAGCTCTCTCTTCTCCCCGACACGAGCCTCCGGGACAGGCGCCACGGCGGCGCTGCCGGTCGCCGTGAGGACTGCGATCGCGTCGGGCGCGGCGTGGGCTCTGCAGGATCGGCCCGACGAGACGGGAGCCGAGCTCACCCGAGATGACCCGCGAGGGTAGGCGCTGCGTCGGTCTGGAGGATCGGCCTCACTCCGGTCGACACGCTCAAGAGCACGCTGCAGGCGCGCGGCGGCGAGGCGGAGTCCGACCATCGCAAGTCGATAGGCGGTGGGCGACACGCGACACTTCCGAGACACGTCCGAGACGCGTCCGTGACATGTCGACGTGCAGGTGCGCGGCGAGGAGGCGTACGACCTGCTGCTCGCAAAGTTCCGCGCCGAGGGCGCCGGCGCCTCTTTCAGGGCCCGCCCTTCCAAGACCTCTCCAAGACAGGTCCTGGAACCTTCCTGTAGGCGCCGGCGTCTTGTTCCAGGGCGCGCGCACACCCCTTTCGCCCCACGCCCAGCGAGCCCCGCCCGCGCACACCCCGCACGCCACGTGTACGTGCACTCTGCGGCGCGCCACGCGGATATTGCCGCCTCGCGCGCGTCCGCGAGTCTCTCTCTCCGCTACGCAGACAGTCACTCGCAAATCGCCCCGGCACAGGTGCGCTCGCTTCGGCGGCCGCATCCTTCGTCGGCTCGTACCCATGGCAAGCTCCTAGATATGAGGAGATGTGGGGAGGTATGGGGAGGTATGGGGAGGCGTGGTGGCTCGTACCCATGGCAAGCTTCCCCCTCCAGCTGCGAGACAGACAGACAGACACACACACACACACACACACACACACACACACACACACACACACACACATACACACACACACACACACACACACACACACACACACACACACAGCCTCCCCCCCCCTCACCTGGGAGACCTCGCCCTCGCCCCTCTCCTCTCCCGATGCGAAGCACACTCCCCTGCTCCGGGCAGGTTCCTCACCTACAACGCGCTCGACGAGCGGCTGCCCGCCTCCCCCGAGGGCGAGGTCGCCTTGCGCCTCTGCCGCTCCGCGCTGCTCGGTGCCGCTACCCCCCCCCCCCCCCCGGTGCGTCTCGGACGGCGCCTGGTTCATGACCAGCGACAACGCATGGGCGGGTAGGCGTCGCCGCCTCGTGTGTGTCAGACTGCACCTCGAACTCTCTGCGCGTGCTCAAGACGCGCCGGCAGACGGCGGCCAACTCGACCTCGTACCTCGACGCGGCGCGTCGGAGACTCGTCGACGAGGACGGAGTCCGTCCCCTCTCTGAACCCTCTCGAACCCTTCTCGCAGGCGCGCGAGATCGTCGACGAGGACGGCTGGGCAGCGCTCTTCGTGCGCGGGCTGGGCACGCGGCTGCTGGTCAACGCGCTGCAGGCGGCACTCTTCACCGTCCTGTGGAAGACAATCGAAGACGTGCTCGTGAACGGAGGCGGCCCAGGCTGGCTCACATTCGCAGCAGCTGGAAGCCCCGGCCTGTAGAGCCGTGGGCCGACCACCATGATCCATGTAGCGCCGGTCCGGGCTGCGAAAACTTTTAGTTTTTATCCGCAGAGCGGAGAGAGAGGGAGAGAGCCCGTCCCGTCTGAGTACACGTACGCTCGGCTGCCGCAGCCACAACTCCTGAGACAATCGGCCACCATAAACCAGGCAGCGGCACCGCAAGCCCACGAAGCCGCGCACGCCCGTGCCCCGGGGCACGCGAGACCGGAGACGACCGCCCGGACAGCGGCAAACCGTGCGGTACGCGCTACGCACGCTCACATCCCGACTTTACAAGCTCTCCTGCGCGCTATACCGTCTTGCCCTCTCCCAGCGCCCACACGCGCATGCGGCTGTGAGCATTCTTTCTCTGGTGGTTCTCTGGGTCTTCTCTCCACAGTGTCTTCTCTTTTCTTATGAGATGGCGGCGTCCACCCCGGGTCGTCCTGCTTCCTCGCATCACCCGATCTGATAGCCGGCGAGCAAGCCGCCGGCGAGGCCGCCCGAGAACCCCGCGTGCTTCTGCGCAAACGGCGCGACCTAACGGCGCGGTATTGAGGGCGTGGGCCACGCGGTATTGGTGCGGTGCATGACGCCATTTGCTGTGTGGCGCGGCAAGCCGTGTGTGGCGTGAAAACGTGCAGTGTCGCGCCTTGGAGAGCGCCATCTTACCGTCGGCGGCGGTGATCTTGTCATCCCCGTCGATGTCGGCCAGCTTTAGGAAGCGTGGCAGCATCGCCGTCGCGTCCTCCACCGCGCCCTCCACCTTGGACTTGAAGTGGTCTAGCTGCTCGTCTTTGAGGTAGCCCTTGTAGTATGCACCGGCGGTTAGTATGCCCGCGGCGAAAACGGCCTTCGTCGCCATCGCCTGAACCTGCTTGCACGCAAACCCCGCTGCGAAGCCGCACCCGAACCCGACAGCAGCTTCGCCGCCCCGACCCTTTGTGATCTGGAGGGCACGCTGCAGCAGCTTTTCGGCCTTCCTCTCCACTGCAGTCTCCTCCGCCTCTGAGGCGAGGAGGCAGCCGCAGAGGAGCAGGACGCGCAGCAGGCGCATCCGACAGCGCGAAAATTCGGCCGATTCAAGAATTTACAACTACAACCTTCCATTCTTGCTCCCCGGCCCTGGATGTGCGGTTAATGACTGCAGTCCAAGTGCTCCAAGTGAAAACGACCTCGCCCTCAACCCGATGCCAATCATCCGGCCCGCTGGGTGTGCTTCTCAGCCCCCCGGCCCTGGATGTGCGGTTACCGACTGCACTCCGAGAACGCGGCGCAACCGGTACGCTGGGGGAGAGCCACTCACGCCCGGGCCGCCAGCGTCGCACCCTCCGCCAACACGGTAAATGGTGCGCAAACTTTTGGCGCGGCCGCAGCCAGACCAGGGGCGCGCCACCGGACTACCCAGACGCGGCCTCCGGCCCTGCGCGCCGCGCCGGCGGCCTCCCACGGAGACGGGGACCTGGGCTCAGAGGGTGAGGAGCATGGTCGCGGGCTTCTCTGGTAGTAGCCGATCCAGGCGTTGGAGAAGCGGGCCATCATCGCCCCGTCGACGACGCGTGGTCGGCCGACCAGCTCACCCGCTAGGGGAGGACGAGGGGCAGGTCTCGACGAGAGGGGTGGGGCCGTCGCCACCCCGTCCGTCGCGGGTTACGCGGCGTCGTAGTGTGGGGCGAGGGCGGGAGATTGCACCGCTCGCGTCTCCACGTCCCAGGAGCCCTCCTCTGGCGTGCCCCCTCTAGAGGAGGAGAGGGCGAGACGAGGAGAAGCAGAGGGGGGAGGGGGAGAGGGAGGGAGAGAGAGAGAGAGCAACCGGCCTGCACGATGGGGAAAAACCAAGCGAAAGGTTGGCTCCAAGAGCTAAAGGTCAACATCCTCTCCGGCTACGACAATGTGAACGTGAACTGGTCCTCACGGGGTTGACCCGTCTCCTCCAGATCGAGACACTTCATGAACGGCCGAGCAATAATTCTTTATCAATATTATTAATTAATGCTTTTTGCACGGCTGAGCCCCCCATCCCCTCCCCCGCGCCCATTCCCTGCCCTCTCCCGCCACGCGCCCCGTCCGAGCCCTCTCCGCTCTTGCACAACAGGAATTTTGACAATTAATCATCTCTCTCAAGTTATGGGCTTGCCCATCCCGGAGTGGTTCGAACCCACACAAACCCGGAAGGTGATGGACGCGTCGTGTGGTGATCTCAGGCCCAGTGAGGTAGTGCGCCTGACCACTCCTGATCATGCTGACCAAGCTCGCGCTCTTGTAGCTCGATCGGTCACACCGCCATCGCCGTCGGGGAGAAGGGGGACGACACTGCTTTGGCAGCGTGCACCTCGATCCTGTACCATGTTTGTTATGCCCCCCCCAAATGAACACACCAGTGTGCAGAGTGAGGGAGGGCGAGACGATCGAGGGGTCCCGTCGTACCATGCGGAATCGACCCTATCAAAGTGCTCAAGTGCTCAAGTAAGGGTAACGTCAGGGAGCCGGCAATTAATCGACGGGCGCCTCAAAAGAGTTTCCTGCGCGGGGGTCGGCGTAGAGCTAGAGGCCCAATGAGCGAGCAAGTACAGTGCAAGGCGCGAGGCGCGAGCCGCAAACCACGGAGCAAGTTCCACGGAGCAAAGATCTCTGGACGTGGACCACTCCCACTCTTCTCTGACTCTGCGGTAATCTGCCCCGTGCGCGCCAATGGAGTCGATATCTCGTGTGTCGTTTTAGACCACGAAGCACGAACGCGTAATCGCGGTGTTTATAGCGCGTGTGAACACGTACGTTATGTGGCGTCAGAGTCTGAGACAGCGACCGCTCAACGGCCGTCTCTCTGCGACGCCTCAATGCCGCCTGCAGGCTGAGCGACAAAAGCCGCATCCTCGAGCCCCGCGCGCTGACCTCATGTCCTCTCTTGCGCCGCGAGCTTCTTGGCGAGCCAGTCCAGCCCGTCGCTAATGCCGGCGCCGGTGGTGGCGGAGCACGCCTAGCAGTGAGGGGCGGCGCTGACGTCGCCGGCGCAGGAGGCGGCTGGGCGGAGAAGGCTCGCCGCTGGGTCGCACGGGGTGGGGGAGCGGGCGGGCGAGGAGAGCGCCTGGATGTACCAGCTGCGGTGCGGGATCGCACTCAGCTCGAGCGTGTCGGCTACCTGCTGCACCGACAGCGCCTGTGGCAGGTCCTGCTTGTTCGCAAAGACGAGCAGCAGCGCCTCCTTGAGCGCCTGTGCGCGCCGCGGCTCCGCAGCTCAGCCGCGAGACGCGCTCGCAGCAGGCGGTGTGCGGTGGCGGTGTGCGGCAGCGTGCGGCGGCGTGCGGCGGTGTGTCGCGGGGTGTAGTGGTGTTAGCGGGATCATCCCTTGGTATCGCGCCTCTGTGCGCGCGCTCGAGGCGCCCTCTACTAGCGCTATGCCGCCGCCTCCTCCCCGAGCAGCTTCCGCAGCTCCTCCTTCGCCTCAGCCAGCCGCTCCTCGTCGGACGAGTCGACAACAAAGATCAGTGCGTTGGCTCCGTCGTAGTAGTGAGACCACAGCGCGCGGATTTTGTCCTGCCCGCCCATGTCCATCACCATGAACTCGATGTTCTTGTAGGTGACGGTCTCGACGTTGACTCCAAGAGTCGGCGTCGTCGCCGCCAGCTCGCCTGAGGCACGCGGACTGTGAGGCGAGAGCGAGAAGCGGCAATCACGAGGCGAGGCGAGGGCGCACCCAGCTTGAGCTGGTAGAGGATGGTGGTCTTTCCGGCCGAGTCGAGTCCAAGCATCAGGATCTTGCAGTGCCGTCGGCCGAGCAGGATCGGGAGGAGCCGCGAGAGGGTGCTGCCTCCGCCCCGAAGCTGCAGCGCCGATCCCACCTGCGTCAGATCTGCCACGCCGGTTCGCGCGTCGCTGCCGCGCGAAGCACGGAGCACGCTCCCGCGACCCGCAGCTGCAATATCCGATGCGGCGACGGAGGAGGCCGAGAGCGCGACAAGCGCCACCACGGTTTTGGCAACGGCGAGCATTTTTCAAGAAGAATTCTCGAAGGTACAAGCCTCTCTCACAGCACACTGGCACGACAAGGGCGCGGACTGGCGCGGACTGGCACACACGCCGGCGCGGAGAATCTTGAAATACAAGGCCTTTATCACAGCACACTGGCACGACAAGTTCGCGCCATCGGCACGGGACTGGCGCACTGGCGGCACTAACACAGTAGTCAGTAGTCAGTAGAAGAAAATTCTCTCGTTGGCGTTCTTCGCGCCTTCCTATCTATCTATCTCCATCCTCGAGTGTGAAGACTTACCTCCCTTGGGTTGTTTTCTTACTTTCTTTGCAATGGAGGCTACCTCGTCTTGAGGGCACGGGCCCTGAGTATCACCCCGATGGCGAGTACCGCCACACCCGCCACGCGAATAGGCGTGAGGCCCGCGCCGGCGGGAGGGGGCGGCGTCAACGTCTGCCCCTTTGTGGGGCCAACCAAGCCTTGACCCTTGGGAAGGCCCAAGGTGTGCACCCCACCCAGCGACTCGACGAGCCCTTGCACCGTGCTGCCTAGGCCGCCGGTGCGACCCCGCGAGAGGACACGGAAGACAAACGTCGCTAGGAAGAGGGCGTCGGAATGCGTGTTGAAGGCGCGGCCCTTGAACGGGTCGCGGCCGGTGCTCGCGAGTGGCGTGAAGCTGGTCGGCCACTCCTGCTGCACCATCAGGATTTCGGGCGGCGTCGCCGGCGGCGGGGCCACGACGGAGTTGTGGGAAGGTAAGCACGACTCGTTTGAGGTAGGCTGGGTGGTCAGTGCACATGGGCGAGTAGCAGCACGTGGCTACGATTCGCACAGACTCGCCGCCCTCCCGCAATCTGAAGGCCCGAAGCGAAGCCGCTCTCTGCCAGCCTCGACGCACACATCATTCTGATAGTACGCGAGCAGGGTTGGGTCCGAATGCGACACCTTGGCCAGGGTGAGGGGATCGAGCCCGTTGCCGAAACGCGACAGCCAGGGCGCGACGACGTCGCGGGCGCATCGGGGGGGGGGCGCTGCGGTGTTAAGTTTATTTTTTGATTATGACACGCTTTTTTGCAATTTGTGCTCGCGGCCGTCGCGCGCTGTGCCCACCTCATGGAGATGTCCCACTTGCTAGCACTAGGTTCGACTGCAGCAAATCAGGATCTACAAACTGGTTGCAGCGACGTTTGGAACACGCCAGGTCATCTTGCGCGCTGCCCTCGGCTCCTGAAGGAGATGTGGCACCTCGCGACAACTCCGCTTGCGCGCTCTTCTTTGCAGAACGCAGTCGATGGTGCCACGAAAACCGACACACAAGTGGCTGCCTTGGCGTGCAGTGACGTCTGGAACTTGCCAGCGACAGACGCCAATGGCGACACCTACTCCTGCGGAGCTCGGATCGAGTGGAAGCAAACCATGGCTGGCGGAGCCCTGTCTCTCGCCGAGGCGAAGCAGTTCGTCGCGGACGAACTCCCCGCGTGTGGGCCGTGCGGTGCACAGGTCTCACCAACAAGCCCACCACCACCGACTAGCTGCGACGACGTCTGGTCTGTGCCAGCTACGGACTCCAATGGCGACACCTACTCCTGCGGAGCTCGGATCGAGTGGAAGCAAACCACGGCTGGCGGAGCCCTGTCTCTCGCCGAGGCGAAGCAGTTTGTCGCCGACGAGATCCCTGTCCCGTGTGGCCCTTGCGCACCCGTTCCCTCGCCCTCACCCTCGCCATCACCCTCGCCCTCGTTCTCACCACCGCCACCGCCCTCGCCCTCGCTCTCACCACCGCCACCGCCCTCGCCCTCGCCCTCACTACCGCCACCGCCCTCGCTGTCGCCCTCGCTGTCGCCCTCGCCGTCGCCACCGCCGCGGCCGGCACCAACACCAATCGCCTCGCCGGGATACGCCTGGTACTGCCGCCTCGATCAATCGGCGGCCTCGCACTACCCGAGCTGCGAGCTCTGCTTCGGCGAGCCGATATGCTGCAGCTTCCCTGCGAGGCCTAGCGAGACGCATGAGTCGGGCTCACGCTGCCTCGCATCGAGGACTGGGGCCAACGTCGATCCTGCGACGGACGAGCCGTATTGGGTGAGCGAGACGCTCTGCGGCCAGGAGCGGCCGCCGGCGTGCTCCGCGCCCCCACCTCCCGTCGGCCGCTGCGGCGTCAGCTCTTGCACGGCCACCGTTCTCGCCACCGTCGCCACCGCGCCGACCGAGAGCGCCACCTGTGGCGGTCGCATTGCTTGGGTGGAGGACGTCGAGGGGAAATCTGAGCCGTCCGCATGTCAGCAAGTGGCGGAGGAATTCCCAGAGGTCTGCGGCGGCTGCGCACCTTTCGGCCTGCCCCCGCTGCCGCCGTCGCCGCCCCCTGGGCTTGCGGTCCTCATGATGGGCAACTCGTACACGTACTACAATGGCGGCGTCAATGGCGTGCTACTTCAACTCCTCGCCGCCCTCGGCGACTCGCCCCGCGTGCAGGCGTTGACAAAGGGGGGCTCGAGTCTCAACTACCACTGGCAGGAGGTGTCTTCCCCGAGCTCCGGTCACCATGTGGCCCTGGCCAGTGGTTTTGACTTTGTGGTCCTGCAGGATCGGTCGGACATCCCGAGCAGGTGCTGCTACACGGATCAAGACGAAGACTTTGAGGCGTCGACCAGGGCGCTCGTTCAGCTCGACGCCGCGATCAAGGAGGCGGGAGCAACGACGGTCCTCTACCAGACGTGGGGCCGCCGCGGCAGCCTCAACCGTCCTCCGTACTTCCAGTCTTTTTTGCCAATGAATGACGCCGTGGAGGAGGGGTACAGGCGGTACGCGTCGCTCATAACGACCGACGGCCGCGCGCCAATCATTGCACCCGTGGGGTCAGCCTTTGAGCTCGTGTATGGCGCCGACCGCGATCTGAGGGGGGTGGCGGAGAAGGTGGAGGAGGGCTGCTCGGGGGTGGTGGCGACGGAGGAGGTGGCAGGGGCGGTGGGGGCGAGGGCGGGAATGGTGGAGACGGAGGTGGCGAGGGAGGCGGAGACGGCGGCGGAGACGGCGGCGGTGAAGGGGGGGGAGGGCTCGGCGGTGGGGGTGACGATGGTGGCGATGGTGGCGGAAACGGCGGCGATGGTGACGATGGTGGCGGCGAGGGCGGCGAGGGCGGCGTGGGCGGTGCGGGCGGTGCGGGTGGCGAGGGCGGCGGCGTGGGTGGCGGCGAGGGTGGCGGCGGCGAGGGCGGCGGCGGCGAGGGCGGCGGTAGCGAGGGCGGTGTCTTGCCATTGTAGTCGAGCACCCGGCCGTTGGCCTTCTTGGCCATCTCCTCCTTGTCGGCGACCACGCCCCACGACGTGACGCCGATGCACGGCACCTCGACCGAGGACTCTTGCAGCATCCGGCCCACCATCTCCATCACGCCCGCGTTAGTGCCGCCCGTCATGATCCACGCGTTGGTCGTGCGAGCCGCGGACAGCAGCCCGCGCCGAAAGACAAGCTTCTGCTTGTCGGTCATGTTGAGGGATCCAGCGCCGCCCGTGACCGAGATGAGGGCGGACGGCGGCGGCAGCTGCCAGATGGACTGCTCGCCGCACACGAGCTCGCGAAGAGCACTGGTGGCGGCAATTTCGAGCGCCTTTCCCAGCAGCTGGCCGTCCGGAGACGACTGTGCGGGCGGCATCGCCGTCAGGTGCGCCAGCTTCTCCCGCAGCTCCTGCGCGGAGAATCTCGGGTAGAAGCGCCTCGAAAGGTTGCTGATCTGCTCGCTCGACAGGCTCGCAAGCCGGTCGACCATGGCCTGCCGCTCGGCAGACCTGGTGTTGAGATCAATCTTTACCCATCGCGCAGGCATCCGCTTGCTCGACGGAAAGCGCAGCGTCCCAACCTTGCTGAACGGGAGCTTCCGCGCCTCCTTCCTGCGGCGCATGGAGCTGGACAACGGATCGGCGTCTTGCTGCGGGTCCTCGGACATCGTGGACCTGTCGCTTGCCCGTTGTAACGCTTCGAGGTCATCCGCAAACGGGCGCCCCCCTCCGTGTATGGGCGAACGGCGACGTTTTTCTTGTGTGAGAGAGGAGGGAGTTTACAAGATTTCTTGCATTTTCTTCTCTGTGTTGGTGTTAGGTTAGGCACCGCCGGCCGGTCCTTTCCTAGGGCTAAAGCCGTAGCGCGTAGGCGCTGTGCCATGTGAACACCTACAGCTACACAAGTACACTCGTGTCCGAGTCGGTTGTCCTTCTTTGCGCTGTGCGATTTGTACCCGGTTCCGATTGCAGCCGGGTTTTGTAAGGCGAAGGCCGAAGGGCGATCGCTTTTTTACGCGACGTGCTCACCACACAAAGACACATACATAGACATACCACATACTCGTAACGTGCACAACAACAACATGCACATGCACATGCACATGTGCATGCAGCATGTGCATGCACAACATGCACATGTGCATGCACATGTGATCCGGCTGGGCCTTGGGCTCTCCCGTGTACGTGTCAACCAGCATTGTTGCGCTTGCTTCGCTTGCCGTGCGCCACGCCACACCGCTCCTTCCCAAAAGGCCGGTAGCCGGCGGCCTTGGCCTTGGCGCCGAAGAGGTGCCACATGTCGCACACCAGCCCGCTGCTCGCATACGCGGACGCCGCCGAGGCCAGCTGCGGGCTCCCGTCGCGCTGATGCCGCCCGCGGTGCACGCGCGGGTCGTCCGCCTGTAGTACACCAAAGCCCCGACTGGAGTGCCCTGCGCCGCCTGCCTGCCCCTCGCGTGCACGCCAGGGCTACGAGTGCAGTGAATACGGCTGCAGCACAGCGGAATGCCGCCGAAATCGGGTGGGCCCTCCTCGAGTGCTAGCTGGAATGCACGCAAGTGCTTCAGCATCTAGGGCCGCATGCGAGCGAGAAAGCGCAGGCGATGCGGCCAGGAGGCGGGCTCGTCTTCGGCGCGAGTGGAGGCTCGGAGCGCCGCTGCTGCCCCTGCCCGTGCTGCCCTCCCCGCTGCTGCTGCTGCTGCCGCTGCTGACGCTGCTCGTGCCGTTGGCTGTCCGGCGGCGGCTGCTCCTCGCTCCGCTCCCCTCGCAGCACAAACTCGACCAGCCGCGCGAGCGCGCCGAGCCGGCCGCGCGGCTCGAGCAGGTTTTCGTACGCCAGCCTGTGCACCTGCACACAGCTGCACGAGTGAGCAGGCCTCTTCACAGCTCCAGCGGCGCCCTCCTCACAGCTCCGCGGCACCCGCAGGCCGAGCGCGGCCGCCTTGCGGTAGTGGTACCACATGTGCCGCCATGCGCGCGCCTGGTGCAGCGCGAAGGTCGAAAAGTGGGTCGCGTTGAAGCACGCAGCTGGTAGACCGCCCGAGTGCAGGTGCTGCGAGCGGAGCGCGGCGCGGCACGAGGACGTGGCCACGACAGGCGCCCGGCCGACGCCCTCCGCGTAGGCGAGCGCCCGCTTGTACTCGGCCCAGATGGAGGCGTACGGGTCACGCGTGAGCATCACGAGCGCGTCAAAGCGGAGCGGGGCGCACTTGAGGTAGGCGGGCTTCCGCGTCACGTTGAGCCGGAAGCCCGGCTCGCCTGGCGTGCGCACAAAGTCGTGAAAGTCGACGTTGGTCGGGTGCGCCTTGACCGCGAGCGCGCGCGAGTCGCAAGTGCCCTCCCCCGGCAGCAGCGGAAGCAGCGAGACGTCCGAGTAGACGGAGCCCGTGTAGGTGCCCGTGGCAAAGTCGAGCAGCAGCCGCAGCCAGGTGTTTCCCGAGCCCGGAAACGTCCACAGGAGCGGCGGCAGCGCGCCCGACCCCGGCTGCCGAAACTGGCGGTGGACTCGGGGGCAGGTCATGACGTGGGAAGGCTTGGCCTGGCAGGTGCGAGGCGGCAGTCGGCGGGCGGAACGAGAATTTGAGAAGGCTCGCTTCGTTGGCACGGGACTGGCGCGCATAGTGAGAGACTACGCCTCGGGTCTAAGCGGCCCCTTCTCGCTCTCCTCCCACCCCGCTGTCGTGACCGTCTCCACCCCACCTCCATTTTGCCTTTAGGTATGAACGTATGATTCGATCATGAGTTCGTCCGAGAGCTCCCTCTCCCAGTCCCAGCTCAGCTCAGCAGCTCGTCCACTCCAGTGGGTTATCACTTCGGCATCCCAGCCTCCTCAAAGTGTGCGCTAGGCTGCTCTCGACGGCCACCCTCGCAGGGGTGCTGAAGGCGTGCTCAGGAGCCTCTTGATTGGTTTGATGGCGATTGAACGGCGTTTTGCCTTTAAGTTAACCGACGTGAAAAACACCGGCAGTTTGGGGAGACTAAACACAGTGCTGAGGTAGGTAGGTAGGAAGGTGAAGAACAGCCAGGCTCGGACTGGACACCAGCGCGTTATGGGTGGACGCGGGACAGATGATGACGGCACGCTCGAGCGACACACAGACACACACAAGCTCACAAGACACTCAGCCAGCGAGATGGGACAGCGAAGGAGGAGCCTCAAAACGTATGGGAGGGTAAAGTTGTGCGTCACGCTGCCCGACGTTTCTCACTTTCCGGGACAGCCCCGCCCTTTTGAGACAGGAGAGTGTGACGACTACCCCGTACGCCTGCAGCTTCTACCCCGACGCCGACCGCCCATTCCCCCCTCCTCTTTCCCCCCTCGAGTTCTCCGACCCCGACAAGCCGCCCGACGCTGGGCCTTCGCCCCGCACGCCCCCGCCCCTCTCCGCTCCGCGCACACACCCAGGCCCGACACGCACATACAAGACAAACCGGCGTTCTGCTCTCAAAAGAAAAGAAAAATCTTTTTGAAAAGCTGGTCGATCAGGTTTATCCGAGACACGGCATCTCCCAACCTCAAAAACAGCGACCGCCGAGGCATTCGCCATCGGCCTGTGGGCCTTTCTCGACAGTTATGGCCGTCGGACTCCTCGCGCTGGCCGCCATCGCCGCTCCCACGTCCACGACCGCACGGTCGCCACTCTTCAGTTCCACGCCAGACCCTCCGCTCGACGCACGTGTGGTCTCCTCCGGGGCCTACCACAGCGACGGACTGGCTGAGCCATACCGCGACACCGTCCTCTCGGTCTGCGGCATCATGGCGGCATGCACCGAGTCTGGCTATACTTGGAAGATCAACTTTGAACCCAAACCCGACGAAATTTGGCCAGAGTATCTCGCTGAGGTCCACGCCGAAGAGGTCGCCGGGCGGAGTCTGTCAGGAGCCACGGCGACCATCTCCCACGAATTCAAGCTTCCGGGCCACTACCGCGTCGAGGTTTCGTATGGAAGAAGCTCGCAAGTCACCTTCGTCCGCTGCGCATACGCCCGCCGCGAGGTGCGTGACCTCGCTAAAGCTGATTGGGACAAGTACGTGGAGGCGATGTGGACCATTGCGCTGCTGCCATCGGAGCTGGGGCAGGAGCGGTTCGCGTGCCCCAACTTCTATAACCTCAACGTCTTTACCACGATGCACGGCGTCAACAGCATGAATCGGACGTGCGACCAGGCATGTGCACGCTCTTCACCCCATCACCTTCACGAGCCAGCAGGCCAGCAGCACCTCTCAGTGCACGTCCCCGGCCCTCGCAGGTTCACTTCAATCTCTTCCAGGAGCCGTCACACCAAGCCTGGATGACGCTCCTCGAGCGGTCGCTACAATGCGTCCACCCGACGGTGTCCATGCCGTACTACAACATTGCTTGGGACATGAAGAACCTTTATGGCGCTCGCACCCCCCCCCCCCCCCCCGAGCAACCACGCATGCCAGCGATGCCACGCATCTGCAGCTGACGCTTCTGCGCCTCGCCCTACAGACCCGGAAGTCGGCATCAAGTCGTTGCTGGACTCCGAAATCGTTGGTCCGGCCTACTACGGCGGCGGCAAGGCTAACTACGACGATCGCGACCCGTACGACCCGTACTATGTCGAGGACGGCCGCTTTGCGCGTTTCCCCCTGCGGGCAAACCGGACGGGGCTCTGCGAGGAGTCGCGGCCTCTCTTTGACGACGCATACGTCGATCACTGCAAGTCGATCATGGAGGGCGAGGGTGTGTATACCTTTCGCGGCCCTGCAAACTCGAGCGGCATCTGGATGGTGGAGCCACGCTCCGACGATTCGTACGAGTACGTCTCTCGGCGCAGCTTCTACGGCTATGCCAACGAGGCTGGCGTCGGCGACATCGCGCTGCCACATCTCATCCCGACCTACGAGGTGCTCGCAATGGCGACGAGCATGCCGCTGCTGACCGAGGCGGCCTCTTACATCATGAACGACCCAGTGCACGGATACGCGCACTACACCCTCTCAGGGCTATGGGGTGGCGGGCTCGACTCCTCGACGATGTGCAGGGCGGATGCGCTGGGACCCGCCCCCATCCCGCTGATGGAAGTGATCAAGGACCCCAGCAGGCACCCCACCCCCCCTCACCCACTCACCCACCCACCCCCAAGCAGCCCTCCTCTCCCACGCCTATCTCCCTGGCCATCCCGTCCACAGGTACGCGGTCTTCGCGTGGTACAACCACATCATCGGCCGGGAGAATGGCTGCTTCACTTGCGACCGCGACGGGTGCACCCGCACATCCGACGCAGACGAGAAAGGCTGTGCTGACCTCAATTTCGAAACGCCTCAGTGGAGCGAGTTCGCCGAGGTGGACCCGATCACTGGCTACGCGAACTTCTGGCACCTGCACCTCAACCAGTTCAACAACGGCATGTGGATGAAGGAGATTTTTTACGGGATGAGTGGCAGGGCACTCGGCAACGACAAGATCTTCATGCCGAACACAGGCACATTCGGCCGCCACCCGTGGGCCAACCAAGACCCACTCTTCCTCGCGCACCACGCCTTCACCTTTGTGGCCTGGGACCTCGCGATGAAGAACATCCGTGACAAGGGCATCAGCCAGCCGCCGTTGTGCGTCGTTTGCAGGGCGCCTGGTAGTGAGTGATGGTACCTCTTGAACCCTGAATGGTGCTTGTAGGTACGACCTCGAGGAGTTCATCCGGCAGCGCGGCGTCGACGAATGCCCGGGCCACAATCCAGACGACGCGACGGCCACCGCCGTAGACCGTAGCGAGCCCCATCTCGACACCTTAGCCCGCAGGTCAAGGCCCTGAGCATGAAAATGGCCGTGCACCCAGGTGTATCGCAACCTCGTGCGCTACCGCAGTGGCCAAACGCCCGGTTCGCGTCAGACATGGCGCGACATCATGACCATGTGGGCGCCCGACCGCAAAGACTACGAGTGCGGCCCCTCTAGGTTTTGACACACCCTGGCCAATTGCCCTCGCACATCCTCGCCTATGCATAACAGATGGATCGTCAAGGATCCGTACCTCACCGACCTCGAGTTGCTCGCCAACTCGCCCGACTGCAATGAGGCATGCGAGGACAGCGCCAGCATCATCAGCACGTTCCCGCCTTTCCCGGACTTGGACCTCACGCCGACGCAAATGTGCCAAGCCACCATCCAGAACCTCGTTGGCTCCGGCATGACCGGACGGCAGGCATGCGACACCAGGCTCAATGCCATCAGCAACCAAACGTTCTTCCTCGCAGACTTCCTCACGGTCTGCCCCCCCCCCCCCCCCAAAACGCGGCTCCCTCGTGCACAACACGCGGCTCCCTCCGCGCTTGAGCGTCAACGAAGCCAAGTGCCGCCTCACACCGCCCGTGCAACCACAGGTCGAGAACTCGTGTGAGATGAGCTGCAGGTTCTGCACTTTCGTGTGCGCAAACAGTGGACCCCGCCCAGGGCAGCTTGCTGCTGTCAATGACCGCGACGAGGGGCTCAGCCAGGCCCTGGAGGAGCGCATCGAGAAGTACTTGGCCAGTGGCCAGCACAAGAGCCGCGGCGGCCTGGTCTGACGATTTAGTCACATAGTTGTCCAGAGATGCCAGTGCGCGTGAGTGGCCTCGTGGCGGTGGCCGCCCGTGCTCTCTTCTCTCTCCTACCCGTTGGAACCAAGCGGGGGCGTGCATTCGCTCTCCACTAGTTGGCCGTGGCGGTGGCCGCGCGTACTCATCTCTCTTCTCTCTCCTCCCCTTTGGCCAGGCGTGCATTCGCTCTCCACTAGTTGGCCGTGGCGGTGGCCGCCCGTACTCTCTTCTCTCTCCTACCCGTTGGCCAGGCGGGGGCGTGCATTCGCTCTCCACTAGTTGGCCGTGGCGGTGGCCGCGCGTATAGGCTACTCGTGTTTGTGTGTTCGCTCCTTTCCTCGGGCCGTTCCAACCTTCCAGCATCTCCTAAGGTAGTATAGTAGGATGAGAACGGGTGCCGGCGGCGCAGGTCTTCTAAAAAAATGGTAGAGCACCCGCCGACTTTGATTGAGGAGTGCCGGACAATGTCAATGAACTGCTTGCCCATGCTTGGGCCGCATGGGCGTCAGGTTGAGGCTGTGAAGCTCCACCAGTTGTGCTCCACGGAGAGCCGCGAGAGGATGCGAATCATCGCCTCGTCTTGCGACGTCACCGCCTCTCCGGTGGCCTGCGCGCACAGCGACGCGGGCCTCGCTACCCGCTCGTCCGCGCTCCACTCACCGCCGCCGCTCCCGGTGGCGGCAGCGGCCGAGGGCGGAGCGCGTGCATAGACCGTTGTTTTTGGTACCACTTCCACTATTGCAATATGTGTACAGTAATCCCACGTGTTGGGCGCCCCATTCCGTTGCGGCTGGGTCGGCTCAGGGCCCCGTCCACTTCCCTCCCACTTGGCGCGTGATGATGAGGAGATGCCACCCAGGCCAGCCAGGGCAGGGGCGGAGGGCGAGGGCGGAGGGCGGGATGGGCGCCAAGCGGGAGGGAGCGGACGGAGCTCCGGATCCGGCTGTAAAAAAGAAAAATAGCGTGTCGGAGCTCGCGAAGCGGCTTGCCCGTCGCACAGCTTCTGCGTCCTACGTCTGGCACGCGTCCCGAGCAGCAATGGCAGGCAGCACGCACTGCATCCCACCGTCGCCGACGATGAAGCCGAGCGCGCCGCCGACTCGCTTCCCGAAGAACAAGGTCCGCATCCTGCTGCTCGAGAACGTGCACCAGCGCGCCATCGACATGTTCCACCAGGAGGGCTTCTACGTCGAGACAGCGACCGCGCTGAGCAAGGAGGAGCTGCTTGACAAGCTTGCGGGCAGGAACGGGCACGAGGCGATCCACGCCATCGGCGTCCGCTCCAAGACGGTGCTCTCCGCCGAGTGCTTTGAGCTCGCCAAGCGGCTGCTCTGCGTCGGGTGCTACTGCATTGGCACGGACAACCACGACCTGCCAAAGGCGGAGCAGTGCGGGATCCCGATCTTCAACGCGCCCTTCGCCAACACGCGCTCCGTCGCCGAGCTCGTCATCACCGAGATCATCGCCCTCTCCCGCCAGCTCATGGACCGCTCTGCAGAGTGCCACCGTGGCGGCTGGTACAAGGCGAGACGCTTCCGAGACGCGTCCGAGACGCCCCTTGCGAGATGCCCCTTCCGAGGTACCCCTTCCGAGATACCCCTTCGGAGACACCCCTTCCGAGCGTTCGAGTCGCTTCCGCCAACCACCTGGGCCGTTCGGATTGCGCGAGATTCGGGCCGAGATTGCAATCTCCCCCTCCGCAGGTGTCCAAGGGGTGCTGCGAGGTGCGCGGCAAGACGCTCGGCATCGTCGGGTACGGGCACGTCGGCTCGCAGGTCTCGGCCAGCCCTCGGCCAGACCTCGGCCAGACCTCGGGCAGACCTCGGGCAGACTTCGGGCTGGCCTCGGCTGACCTCGGCTGACCTCGGCTGATTCCGTCTAGACCTCGTCTAGACTTCGGCCACCTCTTGGCCACATCTTGGCCACATCTCGGCCACCCCTCGGCCACCCCTCGGCCACCCCTCGGCCACCCCTCGCCCACACCTCGCCCACCCCTCGGCCACCCCTCGCCCACACCTCGCCCACACCTCGCAGGTCTCCGTGCTGGCCGAGTCGCTGGGCATGCGCGTTGTCTACCACGACGTGAGAGAGAGCCGAGATATAGCCGCGATATGGCCGAGATATGCCGGCCCCTCGTCTGCCATGACGCGAGCCCAAGCCGAAGGCTTCGCGGATCTCGGCCGATCTCGGCCGATCTCGGCCGATCTCGGCCGATCTCGGCTGATCTCGGCTGATCTCGGCCCTCAGGTGATTCCGAAGATGGCGCTCGGCAACGCGAGCCAGTGCGGCAGCATGGAGGAGGTGCTGGAGCAGGCGGACTACGTCACGCTGCACGTGCCGCGGCTGCCGTCGACCAAGAACCTGATCGGCGCGGCGCAGCTCGCGGCGATGAAGAAGGGGTCGTACCTGATTAACGCGGCGCGCGGGGAGGTCGTCGTCGTCGACGACCTCGCAGAGGCGCTGCGCAGCGGCCACCTCGCCGGCGCCGCCGCCGACGTCTTTCCGTCCGAGCCAAAGAAGAACGGGGAGGAGCTGTTCGAGTCGCCGCTGTGCGGCTTGCCCAACGTCATCCTGACGCCGCACATCGGAGGCTCGACCGAAGAGGCGCAGGCGGCCATCGGCGTCGAGGTACCCGAACGCACCCTCCCCCACCCCCACGGTCCCCGAACCCCCCTCCCCCCACGGTACCCTCCCCCACCCTCCCCTCCCCCCGCGGTACCCTCCCCCACCCTCCCCCACCCCCACGGTCCCCGAACCCACTCTCCCCTCCCCCCACGGTACCCGAACCCACCCTCCCATCCTCCCACGGTACCCGAACCCACACTCCCCTACCCCACGGTACCCGAACCCACTCTCCCCTAGGTTGCGAGCGCGATGATCAAGTGCATCAACACGGGCGTCACATACGGCGCAGTCAACTTCCCGCAGGTCGACATCATGCCTCGCGTCGGCACGCACCGGCTGATCAACTGCCACCGCAATGTGCCCGGCGTGCTGATGAAGGTCAACACGGCGCTCTCGCAGGCGGGCTGCCCAAACAGAAAGCATTCTTAGCGTCAAGCCCCCCTCAAAGAGTGTAGGGACAAGTCACCACCCGTACACAGGAGAGGTGGGAGTGCCCCCCGCCCCGCCTTGCGCTGCCTGCACGGGATAGCGTGCCCCGATGACGGCGACACATAGCGGGGGACACTCGCAGGCGGGCTGCAACATCTTTGCGCAGCTCTAGGAACCGTCTAGGAACCGTCTAGGAACATACCTCGCAGGCGGGCTGCAACATCTTTGCGCAGCAGCTGACGACCTCCGAGACGGTGGGCTACATGGTGGTCGACGTCGACGTCTTCACCTCCGAGGAGTGCATGACCATCATCAAGTCGCTCGGAGAGTCGATCCGCTCGCGCATCCTGTGGGCGCAGTGAGGCGGCGCCGCGCCGGCCGACCGCACGGCCCCCAGGCCGACCGCACGGCTCAGATTCCATGGCTCTGATTCCATGGCGCAGATCGCACTCTATCGCTAGTGCCCTCTGCTGGCGCCTCTCCGCCCCCTCTTGCGCCGCGCGCTTGCCTAGCTTGCCGCTGTTCCTGACATGTACTTATGAGTCTGTGGCCGGGGGCACGTCGGACGACGCGGGCGTCTGCGGGTCTGTGCGCTGCGCGCGCAACTGGGGGGCGAGACCCGGAATCGCGCCGCCGCGACGGGTCAGAATTCTTTTAGAAAGTAAAATTCTTAAATACATAAATAAAACGGACATGCCAAACCGCAAACGAGGGGTGGGAGAAGCAGAAGCGAGAAGCAGAAGGGGACAGGGTCCCCTGCTACGGCTTTAGAGCGTAGAGGGGTGTAGACAGCGTCCTAATCTAAAATCTGAGGTGTGAGGATTCAGGATTGAGGCATCGCTTCAGTGAGGCCAAAGTGAGTTTATGGATGTGTGAGAACGGTACGGGACACGAGGAAGGAAGCACGCGACTCTGCTGCACGGCGTTTCAGAATTTTTCTCAGCGTGAGCGAGACGTGGAAGAGTGCCACCGTCGGGTAGGATGGCCTCTCTTGGCACAGAGGGTACCCTCTGAGACGAGCAGATCTGGGCCGCCTTGCCTCAACCCCCCCCCCCCCCCCCCGAGACAACCCCGTAGTTCCCCCCCTCCACCCCGGGCGGGTCGACTCATCCATGGCCGGCATTACGGTCGGCGCGGGCCGCCGAACATTTGCTGCTCGCGGAGCATCAACCTCGAAACCAATTATATAAATAAATAGAGATGCAAAGCGAGCTGGCCGCGCTCGCCATCGGCAGCACGGCAAGGCGCTTGGGCAGCGCCTGCGCAAGAGCCAGGAGCGAGACGCGGCTCTCGCCCGTGTGCCGTGATGCGAGCGATAGCCTCCACGCTCGCCGAGCCCCCGCACTTTTGGAGCGCTGCCTCGATTGCGGCGAGCGAATGCGCCGTCGCCGGGTCGTCGAGGCTGCCCGTGCGGCGAGCGTCGAAGGGCGCCGATGCAAAGCGCACGAATTTGGGCGGCTTGGCGTTTACCGTCGACGAGGGCGCGAGCGGCTTGGCGAACGAGCCGTGAACCGCGAACTGGTTCATGAACCGGGTTCACGGTTCACCCCGTGAACTGAGGCCTGCTCCTCGGGCGAGGGAGACAGTGGACCGACGGACATACAAAGGGCGCGCCCAGTTCTTTTCTCGCAAAATTCTTTTCTCGCCGGCGGCGGCCGAGAAATGTCGATGGGCGCCTTCTCAGTGATTTTCAGCGCCGGTGCCAGAGGCACTGAAGGTTCACTCCACCCTCCGCCACCATGCTGTGCCAAGCCTGACCTAGCCGTGCCTTCTCGTCTTAGCCTCTCGCTGTTGCTTCTCGCGCCGCAAGCTCTCACGGAGCTTTCCCCAGCCCGTGTGCCCTCCGCGCCTCGTGTGATCCACACGCGATCCGGCTCCTGCCCGGCGCAGGTAGCCGTCTTTGACCGCAGACGCGCAGTCTCGCACGCGGTGATTCGGCGAAGATGCGCGCGCGCGCAGACCGCTCGGGCCCGCTGCTCCTGCGCACTAAGGACGCCCGCCCGCCCCGCGCCCGCGGCGCGTGCGCGGCCCCCATCCGGCGGCCGCACGCCTGATTGAGCCGGCTCGCTGCTCGTCACAGGCGGTGGCGCTCACCCGCATGGACGAGGCACCCTGACGCGGTGCGTGCGCAGCGCCAACCGTCGCCGGCCCAGACTGAGGACTCGGACGGCCAGGGGCCGACAACTGATCGAGGTTTAGGGAGCCGCAGTCCCGGAGGGCCCCCTGCCCAGACGGATTTTGCTCTTCTCGCGACGGCAGGCTCGCCGGAACAACTGTCGCCGGGGAGTGGAAATGTCGTAACAGTGCCGCTGCAGCGCTGCGCTCTCCCTTTGCGGCCTCCCGGCCACGAGATAGCCGCGCGGTCGCAGTCGCCGGCCGTTGCACAGATGCGGCGGGTGCAACCGCGCGTATACGCGTCCGCCGCGGCGGAGAGGCGTCGCGTGTTTGAAGTCTTGGTGCAGAGTGGCGCCCGCGCGCCAGAGTCCGTTGCAGCTGCAGCCTGCAGCTAAAGACGTGTTCATCTTTAAACCAAATAAACCGAGGTGAGCGTGGTGGGTGCGGCGGGAGAGCTCGGAACGGTTCTAGCGCGAGCGAAACTCTATTAGCCTGGCTTTTTCTTTTCACCAGACGGCTTGATCGGCTCAGCCACGCTAAAGGAGTCACGCTCGGTCGAGTTTGCGTTTGCCCGTGCTGCTCGCGAGCTCGGCTGCTTGTACGGGCGACGATGGGTAGGCCGATTCCGCGGAACCTCCAGGCTGCCCACGACAAGAAGTGGATCCCCAAGAGCATCGGCAAAGGCACACACCACCGCGAAAAGAATCGAGCGCTGCTCGACGCCGGCTGGACCATCCTGCACAGTGGCAGCAAGAGCGACTGCCGCGTGGGCTACTACGCGCCAAATGGTGTCGGCTTCGACTCACTTTCCAAGGCGTGGACCGCACACGAGGCTGGCAAGACGGACGAGGGCAGCATCCGCGAGTACGTTTCGGAGGCGGGCATGAGGCTCGTCCGGACGGAGCTCAACGGGCACCTCTTCGAGAAGAAGGGGGTCAAGGAGAGGCCGTCACAGGCGGGCTTGGCGGCCGTCCGCACGCCGCTCAACGCGGCCGCGATCGATGCGGGCGAGCTCAAGGAGCGGGCGTCGACCGCGGGCAAGCGGCCGTCAGAGGCGGGCAAGTGCAATCCCGCAAACCAGCGCAGGTCGTGGGCGGCGGCCGCCGCGCGAGGCACCGGCGAGACGCAGGACGGCCTCTCGCCGCAGGAGCGAGAGGACATGGCGCAGCAGGTTGCGGGCGAGGTCAACGCCGTCGCGATCGCCGCGCTCGATCACAGCGGGAGCACCTCCGTCTACGTCGCCGTCGGCAGCTACCGCCGCATGGTGACCAACCTGCAGGAGGCCAAAAAAAAGGGGTGGAAGTGCCTCGGCGCATGTGAGGTCCTCGCCTCCCTGCTCCGCTCCACCCCGGTCGCCTTCGTCCTCGATGAGCACGGCCACGCGCAGCGCTTCTGCACCGCAAGCCTGCGGAAGCACCTGAAGGCGGGCAACATCGAGGTCTTCGTGAGCGAGGAGTGCATGCATGCCGCGTCGACCGCCAAGCGGTCGGAGGTGCTCTCCCACACGGAGCTGATGCAGCAGTACCCGCACCCGCGCACCCTCATGTCGGGCATCTCCAAGGGCGGGCCGCAGCAGGGCCAGGCCTGCGGCCACGCGCTCGGCGTGCTGATGATGCACTGCATGGGCGAGCACTTCGTCGCGCCGCAGGTCGACACGTACGTCCTCGAGATCCAAGCCAGCCCGGCCTACCGCGAGCGGAAGGACGAGCTGGGCAGCACCTGGCAGGAGCACGCGCAGCAGCAGGCGTCGTCGTCGTCCGCGCCGCTCGTGCTGCCGCCGTGGTCGCGCGCCTTCACCTGCAAGCTCGAGAACCCTCAGCGGAAGGGGCACTGGCACAACAAGTACTGGACCGCCTCCTTCGAGCCGGAGAACGCGGTGCTCGTTTTCACGTGGGGCCCGCGCGGCGAGTCGCACACGAACGTCCTCCGCCTCCAGTTTGGCGGGCAGCACGCCGCGCTCGCGAGCGAGCTCGGCACCCGGCGGTGCACGAGCAAGCTGGCGGGCAGCCGGAGCCGCAAGACAGGCAAGCTCACCAAGGCGCCGTACACCGAGCTCGCGCCCGGCGAGGTGCTCGGCAGCGGCGGCGGCGGCGGCGGCGGCGGCGGCGGCGGCGGCAAACGCTCCTCGCGCAAGCGCTCCGCGCCGTCGCCAGCCGGCGCCGACGAGCCCGTCGCCATAGACGCCTCGGAGCCCGCGGCGCGGCCGCAGCGCAGGGCGGCCGTCGAGTCGTTGGTGCGGCTCAAGCAGATGATGTACGCTGAGCGCGACGTCCCGTTCGAGGAGGACAGCGACGACGAGGACAGCGACCACGAGGAGGACGGCGACATGGACTGACTTTTGCGCTTGGCTCCTGCCGAGAGGCGGGCAGAGGAGAGGACGGAGCCACAAATGAGAAGGGCTCCAGCGGCTCGCTTACTGAAGACTCAGGGTTCATGTGACTGGTCATGAGTGTCGTGTGCTGCACATACCGTCACGTAGCCGACAGCGGCGCCTACTGAGAGGAAAGATCTCCAGCCAGAGCAAGGCCACGGAATATCACGGCGCTTGTTGCCTTCCGGAATGTCAGCCGAAATGCCCTCATCTCTCGGGTACGTGATCGGCTACTTCAAGTGCTACTCCGTGGGAGCCGATCACGTACCCGAGGCTGAGGGCCTTCGAGAATGTGACCCACGGAGGGACTGTCTGACCGGCATCTACGAGACTGTGTGTCTTATGTGTGCAAGCGAGTAGTAGTGTAGTGACTCTCGACATATGAGCAGGAGCAGTCCGCACGGTGAGGTAGCAGCATACGATCGAGACAACATGCAGCCGAGAAGGGCCATCGAGCACCCGTAGTCGTGGCCAGATCGTGGCAGCTATGCAGCCATGTCGATGGGCAGCGGGCTGTGCCGCAGGATTAGGTGACTTCTTGTCGGACACGGCGCAGTAGCACACACCAGCGCGACGAAAAAAGAAAAAAATGCGCTACGTGTGTCCGGTTTGCAGAGAGAGAGAGATTTTTTGCTTTTGCAGCGACCCACGGTTGGACACCGCTGGCGGCTCGAGGTTACTTTTTTGAGACTGGGAACCGACAAAGAGTGCTAGCCGTCCCATCTCGTCCATTCTCCAGTCGAGCCACCGCGGAGTCTTGTGTTTTGGCGCTCATGGACAGCCTCGCAGCAGAAAAAGAGCGCGCATCCGCTCTCTCTCACGTCGTGGGAGGCCGAGGCGAAGAATCCGGCCTCTCCTCCTCCACCACTCCAGTCCTCGTTTGAATGGCACGCTTTGCACTTTCCGCCGCCACAAGTCGACGCATCTCCACTGCTTTCGCGGACTCTAGGTGCGTCGACTCGTGCAACGCGGCGATAGACTTCCTGTTTGGGATTCCGGCAAAGTGCCTGTTGGCGAGCCCCTTCACGTACGCCCCCTTGAAGGAGAAAGAAGAGGTGTCTGCCGTGAAGCCGGCGGTGCCAAAAGTGGCAAAACCAGGTAAGGGGTTCATCAAGCGGCAGAGGACGGTGCGCCTATGTTACTCCACACCAGCTGGTCTGATCCTTCTCCGCCCAGTCGTATCGTTGCTCAGGTCCACTCTCTCTTCGAACACTGGCACTAACACAGGTACACCCCGGGAAGCCGCACGAAAAGAATTTCACCGCGCCAAGTGCTCCTAGTGCCCCTCATCGACCCAATACCGGTCGCTATTCCTCGCCATTAGGCAAATGGCCTGCTGCTGACTGCGCTCGACGCCTAGAGCGGCCCCGCGTTCCTCGCGGCTCACATAGAGGCACTGCGTCGGTCCCCGGCCAGCTGATTGCATACTTATCTCCGCGTGGGCAGCTCCTGGCTGGCATGCGCGCCCTCGCGCCGACAAGGCCCCGTGCGCACCCCAGGCTCCGTGACCGGGCGTGGCTCACAGGGCGCAGAGATTGTGTGGTGCTCTGGTGCTCTATCTGGTGCCGCGCTGCTATTGCTCAGCTATGCTCGCGCACCCCTCACTGGCCTCGCGTCTGTACATCTCGTGATCAACTTGGCGGCTGCCGTGAGGAGGGCAGCAGGTGCGCGGCACAACGCTCATAGTTTAGTACGGATTGTAGCTTGAGTCTCTCCAGTGCACCAGGAAGAAGGCAGGACGAGTGTGGTTGTTTCACTGTACGTCTGTGTGATCTGACATCTGTGAAGGTCCGCCCGGAGTTGGCTCACTGTTGTCTGTTATAGGCATCGTATGATTGATCCCCCCCTAGGGTATGGGAGGACCACGGCGGCACGCCGCCACCCCACAGGGATTTCACACGGAGTGAACCAGCGGAGTCCGCTCACCCCGATATTTTTATTAGTGGGGGAACGGGAAATGGTGATTTTTGAATGAACGCCTCGGGCCCTCGCGCAAAACCACCGCTACCATGCCACAGAAGACCCTTGTGGAGGAGGGTAGGACTCTGACCTGTTCCGACCCTGATCCGACCTCTCTCGAACACCGACCTGATCCGACCGTGTTCACTTCGAACACGGTCGGATCAGGGTCGGACCAGAGTCGGAACAAGGTCGGCGTAGGTCGGGAAAATCCACCTCCCTCCCGCCGCCGCTGACCCACCCTGTTCGAGCACGGTCGGATCAGGTCGGATCACGGTCGGAACAGAGTCGGATCATGCTGTGCCCGTCCGTGCGGTCGGATCATGGTATGATCCAACCCTGTTCGAACGCTGCCGAACACGGTCGGATCACGGTCGAACACAGGTACGGATCAAGGTCGGGAAAAAGGGCCGCACGTGGGGCAGCTCATGTGTTCCGACCCTCATTCAACCCTGTTCCGACCGTGTTCGAACGCTGCCGAACACGGTCGGATCAGGGTCGGACCAGAGTCGGAACAAGGTCGGGAAAAAGGACCGTACGTGGGGCAGCTCATCTGTTCCGACCCTGATCCAACCCTGTTCCGACCTTTGTTCAAACCTAACAGGGTCGGATCAGGTCGTTCACATAAGGTCGGATCAGGGTCGGATCAGGGTCGGAACAGGTCAGAGTGCTACCCTCCTTTGTGGGCTATCCAGAACACCTAAGATCATGCCTAGCTCTAAAGTGGGCCCGAGATACGCCAGCTAAACCCCGGATTTTTTCCGGCAGCGCCAGCGGGCCACGCATGGCCGGCTACCCAAGCGGAGACACGGGAAGGCTGCCGCAAGCCGTCGCCCGTCGGTCGGGGAGAGGGGGGACGACACTGACTGCCTCGGCAGCGTGCACCTCGATCCTGTACCGTGTTTGTTATGCCCCCCCCCAATGAACACACCAGTGAGGGAGGGCGAGACGATCGAGGGGTCCCGTACCATGCGGAATCGACCCTATCAAGTGCTCAAGTGCTCTCCCCCCCGGGGTCAAGTGGTGCTGGGCGTTCACGCGGAGGGAAGGCCCCCAAAAGGGTCTTGCGCGATGCACATGTCCTCTTCGCGCAACGTCCTCTCCATCGTCGTCGATCGAGAGCTTTCCGGCAACGCGCGTGGCCTGCGCTCGCTCCCCCCTCGCTTCCTCGCCGGCATCGACGCAGGCGGCGGCCCGCGTGACCGAGCCGCCGTCGCCGCCTCTCGAGGACACGTTGGCACTGGCGAGCTATTGCTTCAGCTTGACTCGGAGATGCCTGCTCCCGCCGAGCTACGCAAGCTGATCGCTGACCTGAGCGCGCGGCTGGGCGAGTCGGCGAGCCAGCGCGAGGTCTTTCTCTGCTGCGGCGGAGACGCGATCATTTCCCGCGTCCTCCTGCGGCTGTGCAGGAGGGAGGCGGGGCGGCCGTCCGCTCGCCTGCCCGAGGGCGCTCCTCTGGACGTGATTAACGAGTGCACCCAGATCCTCGCCGAGCTCGCCATGCTCGACCTCCAGCACGCCGAGGCGCTCGCGTCGCGCCACGAGCTCATCGGCACGCTCTTCCTGCTGATGGCGGAGCCGCAGGCGGCGGACGCGGCGCTCGCCCTTTCCATGACAGGTACACGACATGTCCGGGACATGTCCCGCAGGCGGTGGACGCGGCGCTCACCCTCGCGCAGGAGCTCCTCTCCGCGGGACAGGACGTCTTCCCGCTCACCGCGGTGCCCGACCTGCCGGGCCTCATCGGCCGCCTCTCGCCCCGAGGCCTCGCGGCTCGGGCGCCGAGGAACCCTCTCGGGACCTTCTCGGGACCTCCCTGGAGCGTTCCCGTAGGCCTCGCTCTCGTCTCGCGCGCCCTCGCAGTGCTACTCGCGAAGTCGGCTGAGCAGGGCTAGGGCGGTTAGAAAGCCGGACACGTATTCTAGAAGGTTCCTAAAGGGCCCTAGAGCAGGGCTAGGGCGGCTAGAAGCCGGACACGGGTTCTTGTAGTCCGACCAGCGCTCGAGAGGACACGCACTCGACCGTATGCGGCCGTATTCTGCGGGACTCGCTGCATTCGTCGCCCCTCGTATTCACGCGGCGCTCTGAATACACTGCGCATCGCCATCTTCCCCGAGGTGGGTGTACAGCTGTGTGCTCCCGCCCCGAGGTTGGTGAATTCCGCGTGTAGGTCTGGACGCCTTTCCCGCGCCAGAGTGCGTGGAGCCCGACTTGTGCGTCGTGTGCGCAAACAACGCCGCGCTCCTGGCGCTGCCCTCCTTCCTCGCCCGCGTCGTCGCGCTGCTGCGGCTGCGCTCTCCGCCCGCGGGGCTGTGGGGCCACATCCTCGGCCCGGGGGGAGCGCTTGCGCAGGGGGGGGGGGAGGGCGAGGGGGAGGGCGAGTGGGGGACCCTCTCCGAGGCGCCGCTGCCGCACGCGCTCGTCATCCTCGCGCCCCACCAGCTGCCGGACGCGCTGCACGACATCCTCGCCGGCGCTGTCGCCGCCGCCGCCGGCGGCGGCGGCGGCGGCGCGGGCGGCGGAGGCGGCGGCGCCGCGGCCTTTGTCGGATTGGGCGGCGGGGCGGTGCACGGCTCGCTGCCGCTCGCGTCGCTGCAGACAGCGCTGTGGGTGACGCTGCAGGCCACCTGCTCCTCCCCTACCCCCACGGTCACCCTCCCCTACCCCCACGGTCCCCGAACCCACCCTCCCCTACCCCCACGGTACCCGAACCCACCCTCCCCTAACCCCCACGGTACCCGAACCCACCGCTGCAGGCTGACCTGCTCTACGTGCTTTGGGCGCTCATGGGCGGAAAGACAAAGCAGGAGGCGCAGCGGAGGCGCGTCGCCCTAGAAGGCGTGTTCTTGTCTCCCCCAACCAGCGCTCGAGAGGACACGTATTCAGCCGCCGTCCGCTGTTTTCCGCTGCATTCCCTGTCCTCGGTCGATCTCGTAGCCACGCCAGCCGGTGCTCTGAGTAAGTACTCTGCACAACCCTGGTCTTCCCGCCCCGGTGTAGTCAGCACGCAAGCTCGTAGAGCTGGGGCTGCTTGTGATTGTGGGAGATTGTGGGAGATTGTGGGAGATTGTGGGAGATAGGCTCGTCGAGCTCGGGCTGCTGCCCGTGCTGCGCAAGATGGTCGAGCGGCTCGACTGGTCGCCGCCGCCAAACACGGCCGAGCACAGCGCGCACGGCGCCGGCTGCTCCTGCTCGCCGCAGTCATGCTTGCAGCTCCAGCTGCTCCGGATGTTGCAGGCGCGACCTGACACGAACACGCGCACTGCCTCCCAGACTCTCCCCCACTGTCCCACAGTCTCCCGCAATCTCCCACCCTCCCCCGCACTCTCCCTCACTCTACCCACACTCTACCCACACTCTCCCATACTCTCCCCCCACTGTCCCACAGTCTCCCGCAATCTCCCACCCTCTCCTCCAGCAATCTCCCTCACTCTACCCACACTCTACCCACACTCTCCCAGCCTCTGAGCCGCAGCTGCGCGGGTGCAGGGCGGGTGCAGGGCGTCTTGCGAGAAGGAGCAAGGCCTCCCGTCCCGTCACCCCCCGCCATGAGCCTTCGCAGGCCATCTGCGAGAAGGAGGCTGGCGCCCTCTCCTACCACCGGCTCCTCCTCCTCGTCCCGGGGGAGGACCCTTCCTCCTCCGAGAGCGACACGCCCGCGCACACGCCCGCACACACGCCCGCAAACACGCCCGCCAGCAACACCGCGGCCAACACGCCCGCAAGCCACACGCCCGCCAGCCACACGCCCGCCAGCCACACGCCCGCCAGCCACACGCCCGCCAGCCACACGCCCCGCGAAGAGGCCGCCCAACCGCCCGACTCGGCGGCGGCGGCGGCGGCGGCGGCGGCGGCGGCGGCGGCGGCGGCGGCGGCGGCGGCGACGCGGCTGCGGGGCGACGCCGTCGCGTTGCTGCGCGTGGAGCTGACGCTCGCAGAGAGCGAGAGCGACGCGACGACGGCGGGCGGCGACGCGGAGGAGAGAGGGGTGAGGTGTGGCCGTGCGACTGAACCCGCCGCTTCTGAGTGGCAGGCGGCGGGTAGCGACTCGGAAGAGGAGGAGGTCGAGGGCGGGGTCGAGCGCGCCGTCGGCTCCGGCGGCAGCGACGGCGATTGCGAGCGGGCTGTCGACGGGAGCGGCCAAGGAGAGGAGGCGGCAGTGCTGAGGGAGGAGGAGGGGGAGGGCGAGGAGGAGGAGGGCGAAGGGGAGGGGGAGGGGGAGGGGGAGGAGGAGGGCCAAGGCCAAGCCGAGGGGGAGGGGGGCGAAGGGTAGGGGGGGGAGGGGGAGGGCGAGGGGGAGGGGGAGGAGGGTCGCGACTCGGACGGGTACGCCACTCCCCTGGAGCATCTGGACGACAGCCCCGAGGGCGGAGCCTCAGAGGGCGCGCTGACCCGAGGACGCGGAGGAGGAGGCGCAGGCGCAGGCGCAGGCGAGGCGTGCTCTTCTTCGTCCGCCGCGCCCGCCGCGCCCGCACCCGCCGCGGCGTCCGACTCCGACGAGGAGTCCGAGGGGGCGCGAGTGCCGACAGACGTTCGGCTGACGGCCGCCGCCGCCCCCGCCGCCGCCCCTTGCGCCGCCGCCCCTCCCCCCCCTCCCGCATCTGCTGCCGCGCCTTCCGCCTCCGCTGGCGCCGCCGCCGCCTCCGAAATGGCCTCCGAACTGGCGCTGGCGGAGGCGGCGGCAGCGATGCCGACACCCGAAGAGGTGCCGGCAGGGTGCCTGCTCCACATGCTGCTCTCGCTGCTACTGCAGCAGCCGCCGACCTCCCTCTACCTCCTCGGGCTCGCCTCGTGCGTGCACAAGTGGGTGCAGGCCTCGGCGCCCGCAGAGCAGCGGCTCGTCGCGTCGCACCCCGGGTTCGTCCGTTTCGTGCTCGAGCGACTCCTCGACCCCGAGCCAACCGAGCCGCAGCTGCAGGCCGCCGCCCTTTCCCTGCCCCCTTCCCCCGGCGCTACCCCCGGCGCTTCCCCCCCCCTCCCCCCCTCCGTTC